CTCAGATAAGTCCTTTAATTCATCAAAGGTAAATGAGTCATGACCATCAGTATTTAAGCAGTGGACTCTCTTAAGTGCATCACCCTAAACAGACAAAAACGATAAAATCAAATTTTTTTGGCACTAAACGAGGTTCACAATATTCATAACAAAATTATAACAATATACCAATAATGTCACAACAGCTGCCTCCCTGGTCATCCAACGACGAGTGTGACTATCAGTGTTTAAGTAGTGGACTCTCTTAAGTGCATCACCCTAAACAGACAAAAACGATAAAATCAAAAAATTTTGGCACTAAACGAGGTTCACAATATTCATAACGAAATTATAACAATATACCAATAATGCTGCAACAGCTGCCTCCCTGGTCATCCAACGACGAGTGTGACTATCAGTGTTTAAGTAATGGACTCTCTTAAGTGCATCACCCTAAACAGACAAAAACGATAAAATCAAAATTTTTTGGCACTAAACGAGGTTCACAATATTCATAACAGAATTATAACAATATACCAATAATGCCGCAACAGCTGCCTCCCTGGTCATCCAACGCGAGTGTGACTAACATACCAACGCATATACTCTGAATTTGAACTCAATAAACCATACTAGAGTTCATTAGTCATCACCTAAAGTCTTCTACTCTCCTAGATTTCTAATATAACACTAAATTTGGCTGACCAATTTTCTCCAGTCTTTCCTCTAAGTGTAAGGTCATGTAGCTGGTCAGACTGGTAATGAGCCTTAGGTATAAGCTGCATCATACTAAACTAATGCATCACTCGATCAGGTTGGTGCCATTCACATACCTGAAAACATATCAGGGGCACCACTGCCCTCCATAAGTTGATACCATCTCTATAGATAGGTGACAACATGTTGATGAACTCCATGTTGTATGCCACATATATAATCTGTAAAAAAATATTCAACGACAATTAATTAAAATATGATTATACTAATAAGTGTTTAATAACTCAAGTTTTTTTAATACTAAATAACTATAAAAGCTGAAAATTATTTATTACCTCATCACGTGTTAAATGATCTAATATATATCTGTAGTACTAGACATCTTTCTTCCTTTTCCTTGTACGCTGTAATAACCATCTGCAAGAGAAGTTTTAATACAAACATATATTATTGGCATAATCAATATTAAAGGGTAAAATCATAATAAATGCATACAAAATGAATTCCAACTTACCTCACACAATATGGAAGATTGACACGTGTATGAGGGGGATTACTAGGTGCTAGATGAGGAAATCTATCCCAAGCCCACATCACAATCAACGCAGGAAGTCCTCCAATAGCAACGCGATCAATATTGGTGGCCATGCATAGCTCTCGGTACAAATAACTTAGAACTACAGATCCCCAACTATATTGACCGGTCAACTCAATATATATGCCCTAGCAAACCGAGTAATTTGTAGAGCATTCTGATTATGCATCCCAATATGATTAAAGTTCTCATCCAACCAGCTCATCTTCAGAAAACTCCTTACAAAAGCATCTGGCCCTGGTCTGATACCTAAGTGGTCTTCAACAATCTGAGCCCAATCATCTCTAGTAGGTGCTATAACTGGTCTCCCATCTATGCGTAGACCCAATAGGATAGCAACATCCTGAAGAGTAATAATACACTCTCCAGGGGGCAAGTGGAAAGTGTACATTTCAGGCCTTCACCTCTCAACTAATGCAGTAATCAGTCCCACGTCCAGGGGAAATTGTGATAAGTTAGTCACTTCAATAAAACTGGCTAACTCTAAATGCGGAATAATTTCCTGAGGAACACCTTCTAATCCACCAAAAATATTTTGACTCTTCCTGACCCTCAAAATCAAGTGATCACGTCCATCCCAAATATGTTCAAAGATATGAAAACTTTGAAATAGAAGGAGTGATGAATCCTCTGCCTCGAGATTAATAACTCTATTATGTCCCAAAAATGATGTCATCTATATAAAAAATAAAATAAAAACAACATAATTATTATCACATTTAACAAAAATTCCTAACATAATTAATTAGAACTTTTTTGAATTTATTACAAAATTATAATCACATTCTAATTAGTCAAAAATGTCCTATCTTTCTAAAAATAATTTTTTCTTTGTACATACATAAATTTAAATTACAACAACTTAATTAAAAGCATAAATTTAACTAACATAACTAACAATAATAGTTTTTATCATTACATATGAAATTTAATTTTATTCAAATTAAAAAATAAACATATGACTAACATAATATCATAATTTATTTTTTATATTCACATACAAATTACTAACTTAATTATAATATATATAATTAATCTTATTTAATTTTAATAATTTAATCAAACAAAATTTCATTTACATTTAAAATTAAATTAAATTTTTAACATAATACAATAATTTTTTTTTACATACAAATTACTAACATATTTATAATAATGAATCTATCTTCATTAATTTTAATAACATAATATAATAATATCTACTTAATATTTACATACAAATTATTGCTCCATTTTAAAAAAATAAATAAATTACTTACATATTTACAATATATAAAATTACAAAATTTACAATCTTCCTATCATAATTGAAATTTATTTAGGTATAACAAAATTTTATACAATTAAACAAAATATTTCTCATTATTATTATTAAATTATTTTATTTAACTACTTTTGTATTATTCTCTAAATAAATATATAACAAATATATTATACAACATCATATTAATAATATTATACAAACATATAATTAACAAATATCATTATATTATTCTTTGTCTACAAAAAATATTTATAATTTAACATAATCAGTCAAACTTTATTTTTTAACCTATTAATCTAAACATAAATTAATAAAATTAAATTATAAATTAACCAAATCAATTTTACTAACCTTTGTTAAGCTTCTTCTAATTCTTCTACTACTCCCTAATACTCAATTTACCTGCAATACAAAACATGTTTTCAATTTTTCAGCATTTTAAAATAATAAACAAAATATAAAATTATATATAAATATAAATAATATGATTACCTTAAATAAAAATTTAATAACTGTAAAATCTTAGCCACAATTTTTCACACTTTGCAACCTTTCAGAAATGAAGAAGAGGAGAGACGTCAGACGGAAGAAGAATAAATGGAAGAAGAAAGGAGGAGCGAAGGGGTGGGGACGGTAACTGTGCCGCCTGCCACGTGACAGCTTCTCAATGGTTTCACCATGCTTTTGGCAAAATACTATTTCGTCACTGACAGCGTGCAATCCATTTTTAATTTTTTTAATTTTTATTTTTTTAAAATTTATTACTTTCACGCTTTTAGTGGCGAAACAGGTCCATCAAATTCATGTGTCATTTTTTCATTAGTTGCGCGACGGTGGTGCCGAAACTCTTCATTAATTTTGCCAATTAAGTGACAAAACCGTAGATTCTCTGACACGTGCTTCAATCTGGTATATTTCATGTTATCAATGGTGAAAATCATTATTAAAAAAATTCAAAAAATATATTTTCAACAGTCACTTTAGTAAAATAACACATCGATGTGACAAATTTACTCTAGACAAAGAATTAGTTTCAAAAAACTTATATATTAAGAAATAGTTATTTAATTTACAATATTTAAATAAAAAAACCATGTGCACGTGTGTTAAAATAAACTAGTTATGAAATATATAACCACGAATATTAATATGATTGTATTTGATAAAATATTCTTGCAGTATAAACTAAAAATAATAATTATAAATTATTTATTTTAGGTTGGAGGATAAAAAAATTATTGTTGTAAATTATTTTTTTTTCACTTTCTCTTTATATTTTGAGTATATTACAAGATATTTTGGTTAATTTATAATTTATTTGGCTACTTTATAAATTTATTTTTATCAAGTGTTTGATAAGCTATTTAAAGTAATATTTAAACTTATAATTTATTATTATTATTTTTTTACTTTTATCCTATTACTTTAAAGTTATTTTATATGATTTATTTTAATAAAAAATTGTATTATATTTTAATTTATGATAAATATACGATGAGTTTAAAAGTGACTAATATATATAAATAGTGAGAGAGATGTCCTCTACATCATTTTATATTTATAAAATAATTACAATATAATTTTATTAAATAGTTTTAACAAACCAATTTAACATTTTTCAACTTTTGACTATCTTTTTAACTAATTGTGCTAAACATGGCAATTTTTTTTTTTTTGCTAAACTTTTAAAAAAATATGAAAATATTATTATAATAATAAAATTTATAATGATAATACATTTATAACTAATACAACGTAATATAGTTTAAATAATAATTTAATAGCAAATAATAATAATATTTTGATATAAATTTTTATGTGTAAATTATGAGTACTAATTTTTAATTGAAAGTATTTTTTTAAAAAATAAATAAATAAAAATTTTCTTATAAGTATTTTAACATGAGGATATCATTAAGAATTAGTTATATTTATCTTTAAATAATTGTTCTACATTATGTATATATTTTTTAATTTAACATTAATTTAAAATTTTTTATAATTTATTTGATATAATAGAAGTTTTACTATTAGTTATTATAATGTTTATTTTTAAAATTTAAAACTTTATTAAACTCAAAATTAATTATATCATATATTTTAAATTATTTATTTCAAAAATTTTAGTGTAATTTAATGATACTTGTAACCAGTGCAGCACTACACAAAAAAACTTAGTGTGACATCAGGCATATTGTAAAAATATAAGAACAAAAAATTTTAAGTTCTTATAATTTTAAAAATATATTAAAGTGGTTGTTAGCCAGCCACTAAAATTTATAACCATACAAATCTTTTTTTTTCGATTATGACTTTAAAAATATTTAAAACTATATAAAAAAATCTGAATTAATTAATTAATTAATAAAAAAACTTTGAACTTAATTGCGTATTATTTAATTTATTTGCTTCTTCAAGTATTGAAATATAGTTTAATTCCATTGGGGCTAGGGTTTTGGATTGGAAGTTTGAAGAGTAAAAATGGAGGATAGGGCAATGCCTTCAACAGCTTCCGCATACCTTAATCCTTGCTACTGGTAATTACTAGTAGAAGCTTCAAAATTTGCAATTTTTCTCAATTTCTCAAAGCTTCGAAATTTTCCATGGTTTCAGGGATGAGAGGTTTTCGAAGGAGGAGCAATATGAGTGGTTCAAGGATTATTCCCATTTTCGCCACCTCATTCAACCCCATCTCACGCCCCATTCTTCTGTATGCATTATGTGTTGAAATTCATACATTAGGAAAGGATTTGCGATGATTAATGACTGAAGAAGATGCATGCATATTTGTAGGTGTTGGAGCTTGGATGTGGAAACTCACAAATGTGTGAACAGTTGCATAATGATGGCACAACCAACATAACTTGCATTGACCTTTCACCTGTTGCAGTTCACAACATGCAGAAACGGTTACTGTCCCGGGGATTCAAAGGTCAGTTTGTAAGTTCATAGTAATTGCTAGACATTAATCATGTATGATTTGTTATATATATGTTTTTTAATTGATTATTTTCTTATTTGTTATGTATTCTCTTTTTTTGTATTTTTAGCATGTTTTCATTCCTGTGATTAGGCATAAAAGTGCAGCAAGCTGATATGCTAGAGCTACCTTTTGAGGATGAGTGTTTTGATTTGGTTATTGAGAAAGGAACTATGGTAAATTAAATGATTTTTCCTTTGACCTATAATGGAATTTTGGGTTGATATTCTAAACTGATTATTATGGTTCCTGAATAAACGGTCAAGTGTTTGAAGTTTATGGGTTAGATGTGAAGGTGTTATCCTTGGTTTTGAAGGATGTATTGTTCGTAGACAGTGGTGACCCGTGGAATCCAAAGCCTGAAACTATATCCAAGGTCATGGCCACCTTGAAAGGTGTTCACAGGGTTTTGAAAGCTGATGGCACATTTATCTCAATAACTTTTGGCCAGGTTTCAAGCATGAACTGTTAGGCTTATCCTCTTTTAATGGGCACTGCTGTGATTCTAATTCTAATCTATTTAAAATTCATGGCAGCCACATTTCAGGCGCCCTATATTTAATGCACCGGATTTCAGTTGGTCTGTTGAGTGGACTACTTTTGGTGAAACCTTTCACTATTTTGTCTATGTTCTGAAGAAGGTAAGTCCATATAACCTCACTTTTTGTTTTTCTTGCAACTATAAAAAGAAAGGCCTGTTAGTTGCTATCAAGACTTGAGCATATAAGTTCTACCAATGTGATATCACATATCTCTTTGGAAGATCTAGTATGCTCTATTTTTTTGCTATTAATAACTGCGTTTCCATGACTCTTTCTGTTTTTTGTGACAAATCTTACAGATTTCAGCATCAGTAGTGATACACATTTAAGGGGTTTCTTTAGGGAGCTATAATTTTACATCTGAGTTTAGAGTAGGAGTATGCATAAGAGATTGATAAGGATTATGATTCATGTGCTTGTGGTTTTATTGTTCTGCATTTATGTTTTTAACTATGATCAATGAAATTTTTTCAGGGACAGAGGTCATCATACGAGGATATACCACCTTTTAAGAAATTTGAAGCGTCACCTATGAATCTACTTCATGAAGAGTTAGAAAGTGAAGATTTTGCTTTCAGAATCAATGTTGACGAGTTGAACTTTTAGACTGTATATTGTATGAAGTTTTGTCATCAATTTTAATTTATTTTCCTTGCTGCAATTTTGATTTACTTGCTTTAAAGGAGGAATTCAATTTACCTTAACTATTGGATTTAGTCATGGTAATATTGCACCAAAATAGTAATTTTACTTTGTTGAAAAGTAAATGAAACCATCTCAAGTTGCTATCCTAATGCTCTAATGAATTCCTCTATTTATGCTTCGAGGCAGTGATAAGAGGGGAAAAGAAATATTCTGTCACCCATAGGAGAGACGACAGATAAATGCTATTAGAAGATAATGATTAATTTAGGGGTTTCAAATGTACATAAGATTCAAGTATGTTTTTAATCAATTTTAGTTTTGAAATGTCACTTTCGTGCTTACATTGTATAAAATATTTGACATTTTTAGTATAAAATACAAACTACTTTTAAATAATCGTTTAAATATGTAAGAAACTTTATGGTAATCATTCAATTAATTGCATAATGCAAATATAGTTATAATCAAATAATTTTTTTAACATGTGTTGAAGGACACAGGAAGAGAAACAGATAAATAGTATTTTTTTCATTGAAAATTATAACATTTTATATTATAAATATAGTGAATTCAGTAATATCAATATTATGTTTTTATGCATAAAAAGTTAATATAATGTTATTGGTTATTTGGTTGTTTAAAAGTAAAAATCATGTTATTTATAATTAATATAGAGTCCAGAATTGACAGTTCAAGACCATTTAAACAATAACTTTTTTATATATAATATTGTACCAAAACATTATACTATTGTTGAAAAGAAAAAAGAGTTCATTTTCTGCTTAAATTAAACTAAATTAATTCTGAATAATTTAAAAAATTTACAAGAGATTGCTCTTTCAGCTATTTTTACACGAAAATATAGCATAAAAATAAAACAAAATTTCTATAAGCAATGCACCCGTCAATTGTGCTTTTCACTGCTTTTCTAAAATCAAAAGTATATTTAGCACCCTTTAAACATATCAAATCTATTAATACTTCTTCCAATCACCTACATCATGTAGCAAATGTCTTATTAAGTAAATTTTGCAAAAGAAAAAATAAATAAACATTTATACTTTTAATAATATTTTCATAAATAACAGTGCTTTTAAAAGTTATCAATTGGCTCCCAATTGCTTTGTAGTAGATTAATGGGTAAGGTTGGGTTAGAATTTAGTCATTAACAATTGAGTAAAATATAAATATAAAAAAAGGTATAAAAATTTTAGAAGTTGTCTGAGAAGAGGAAATATTAGATGAGTGTGAATTGTGAGAAGCATATCTTATTTCTATGCATTTAGACCATGTATCTACCAGCTAAAGAGGCATGTCTACCCAGAAACAGTGACACCTTCAAATTTTTAAAATAAATTAATAATTAATAATAACTACTGCTTCTCATTCTATTTATAAAAAATATTAATACTTTTTATTTTAAATATAAAAAACAGATACCCTTCTTAAATTCATTATTTGTTAACTTTTTTTACACAATTTTTTATTATATAATTTGTGTTAGTAATGTATACACTTTTTATCCATAAAACTGGATACATTTATTAATTTAATATATAATATATTAATTTGATCATTTAATACTGTGATTATTTTAAATAAAGTATAAATTTATGACATATAACTACATTTTTTATCTTGGTAAATTAAATATTTGTTTCTTATAAATAAAATTAGAAGTGGAACTATGTAATGTCATTTCAAATTACTTATTGATTCAAAAATTAAAATAAAAAGTATACACGTTAATTGTGTAATCATTTTTATATGAACCTGTAATCATTATTGAAAAAAACTTCTTACTTCTTTTTATAAATTTTTAGTTTATATTAATAATTTTGTTTGTATAGTTTGTTAAAATCAGTTTTTTTTCAACATTTTAAACAAATTTTATAATTAAATTTAGGTCATTTCTTATGTGATAAAAAATTTATTGAATAAATATAAATTAGTGTTCGCCTAAATTCACCCCACATCCATGCACTGTTTTATTGAATCAAAGAAAAAATTATTTATTATATAAAACTATTTAAAAAATTATCCCTTTAGTTTTTTTTTTATTTTTCTATATAGCACTTTTAACTATATTACACAGATAAATAAAGATAGTTCAAATTAGTTAATTATTTTATTCATTTTTTAAATATTATAACATACAAATTTTACTTTTATTCAATATCACTAAATTTAACTCTACTAATATTTTTCCTCTTTTAATTTTAATTTAAGTTTCACCAACTTTATTTATTAAAGACAAATAAAAAAAACATATTTCATAAAAACGTTAAAGGAAAATATAATAAAAAAATATCAAACGTTTCTAAACAAATACCTTACAAATAAAAATAAGAAAAAAATTGTTTGATAAACAAAATGAAAATTATATATATTATTATGATTTCATCCAACTTTTTATATTTGTTGAATCAATGTGATAAGATATATTTTATGACATTATTTTATATTGATTTTTTTATCGTAGAGATTTTGTTTTTTAGGTAGTTAAGTTAGAAATAAACATAATCAAATAATACATATAATTTATTATTTTAGTATTTATTAATGTAAATTAAATAATCATTGTTTTTACCTACTCAAGAGATATAAAAATCAATAAAATAATATTTCTTTATTGTTATGAACGATGTGAATATCATTCCATTGAAATTTTAAATGAAAAATAAATAATTACATGGTTATTTATTAAATTTAATAATTTTTACAAAATAAAGTATATTTATTGTATTAAACGTGACTGTACTATATATATTTAAAATTAAAAAAAAAATTGGAAAATATTAAAATTAATATAATATTTAATTAAAAATACTAAATAATCAATGCAAAGAAAACAAGTTATGAAAAGTTTATCTTATGGCCTCGTCCTAGTAAAGATAAATAAATATAATATAAAAACGCTACGTATCTACTTTATTGTTTTTTGGGTATATTAATTAATTATTTTTATTATTATTATCACTTTTACCTACTAAAGAGATATAAAAATAAAAAAGCAATAATTTTTTAATTGATATCAACTACATGGCATCAATAAAATAGTTGTTAAAAAAATTATTCATTAACTTTTATAAAATAAAACATTATTTTAATAAGACTTATATGTTAATTTTTAAGTCTTGTATTTGATAGGTAATAAATATAACTTTTTGACTTAGATTTTTTATTTTTTATTTTGAAAAGAGACACCATTCTGTTATCTTGAAAATATTGTACTAAAAAATATGACTGTGTTAAAGAGATAAAATTTTTAAGATTAAGTGATAAATTATAAAAAAATAATATTTAATTAAAAAGTAAATACTAGTTTAACAAAAAAAGATGATAACTGTTTTTTTAAAAACATTTTTATTTAATATATTTATTAAAAAAATTTCTTTTTGTTTAAAAGTGTAAGAATATTAAAATAAACTTTACATTTATCAAAAACTATTCGTCATACAAAAATTAAATAATTTATCTCTCTTTTTCTAAACTATATGTGTGCCTTCAGTTTATGAGATAAAATAAATACAATATAAAAGGAAAAATAGTACAAAATAATTATATACTTCTCCATTTAAAATGTTAATTATTAAATGAGAGTTTTTTTAAATAGAAATGTTTTAATAATTGAATTTTTTTTATCATGTCAAATGAGTTATCTTATATCAAGCAATTTTTTCAAATTTAAGTTTAGATTTTATCCTTTTCCCTTTAATTTTAGTTTATTTAATAAAATAAATATTTATCAATAATTATAATATCAATTGTTTAAGTTTATTAAAATTAAAATGATTATATAATGCATTTTGTTATTTTATTTTAATTTAATAATACTCATGAATGAAAAATACATTTATTAATTGAAAAAACACATGTCTTAAACCGCCTATACACGATTTCTTATATTTTAAAGATGTGCATGACACTTGTTTTCTTTGTAGTTGCTCGTACTTCAGTTATTGATTTTATCTGTGAACCGAAAAATATTATTAATTAATTAATTTTTAAAACCAGGGCTCCTTAACGTCTAAGGTGTCTAATTTTAATACATTTGTTGAATTCTAAAATAAAAAATAATTTAAATCTTACCATTAATATAAATCCAAAATTCCAATTGAAGATTTTGAAAAATCTTCCAAGTTTTGTCGTACCGTTTATTTATATTTTTTAAATGAAGGAAAATATTTCCTAAAGATAAAGCCAATCATTATATTTTTTAAAAAATCAAATAATGTAATTTGCACGCAAAGATAAACGAGGAAGAAGTAGGAAAATTCACTGTTATTAGTATCATAAAGTGAAATTCTCAAACCACTTATTTTATTTTCCATTCCCAAAAAATAATTCGAGCGACCAATCAAATCTTAGATATCTGAGAAGACTGAGAAGATGAATTATTATTATTATTATTATTATCACTCGGTACAATTATTATTATCATTATAATTTAATAATATAATTATATATAATTATCATTGTGTGAGCAAAGCTAAGTGCAAAATTGCGAAGGAGAAAGGAAAGGTTGTCTCTGCGTGGGGGTGTGTGTGTGTGTGTGTGTGTGTGTGTGTGTGTGGAGTGGCGTGTGTGTACCTGCCCTCTCTCTTGCCGGCGCTATCGTCGGAATTCCGTTCTTGATTTTCCGATCACCGGATTCGATCCTATCTCGAATCCCTAATTGTGCGTTTTGTTCTATCAATTGAAATTCGACAGCCATTCAATCGTTTTTGGGTTTTGGAGGTGGGGATGGACGATTACGCGAGCAGCGACGACGATTACCGTTACTCCGATCGAGAAGACTCTGTCGACCCCTTTGAAAACGACGACCAAGATTTTCCTTTCCTCTCTTCCAAGGGTCCTACCACTCAGGTATTCCCATCATTCCTTTCCGATACGATACGCTGTTTATGGCTATTCCCGATTTCTCATCTTCTCTTTCTTCATGTGAAAAAACTGGCTTTTTTATGTTTTTCCTTCTTTGATGATTTTCGTGCGTTTATGTGTGTGTGTGTGTGTGTTTTTTTTTTTTTTCCTCCCTTATCGCATGGTTTGTGGATTGTTATATTCATGAAGTGCATTTATCTTTTTGCTCTTATATCGAGACGGGTTTGTTGAAGGTAGGGCTTTTAAAACTGTTTTAGATAAATATTTTGTTGAATTTTTGGTCTGATTGTTTGAATTCGACTGTGGGTACTGAATTTATGGTTTGAGTTTTAAAGGTTTCTATCTGGTTGTAGTTTTTGTGGGTTATATGATCCGAGGATTGGTTTTCATTGTGACTATTATGTGAAGTCGGCTCCTTTGTGTTCTTTCCTTGCACTGACTGTGTTCTGCTGAACTGTTTTGGTACTTGCAGGTGATTACGAAGGAATCACTGCTGGCTGCACAGGTGACGTGAGAAAGAAAAAGAAACTGCCTAGTGTGTTTTGATTAGATGAATTATATTTGTTCATTTTACTGATATCCATATGCGCATTCATGCAGAGGGAGGATTTGCGCCGAGTGATGGACATGCTTTCAGTGAGAGAGCAACATGCTCGTACGCTTCTTATTTATCATCGTTGGGATGTGGAGAAGTTGTTTGCAGTGTATGTAGACAAGGGGAAGACATTTCTGTTTGCTGAGGCTGGTGTTAGTGTGGATGAACATCGCGACTCTGACTCATCTGTTCCTTCTACAGTAATGTGCGAAATCTGCATAGAGGACATTCCTAGTCATGAAGCAACGAGAATGGATTGTGGTCACTGCTTTTGCAATTCCTGTGAGTGGCCATTTGTTGTTTTGTTACTCATCGTGGCTTTTGGTTTTCTAAATTTCATAGGTGACAATTCTATAGCTTTTCAACAAAATTATCAGGTGTTGGGCTGATGGCATGGCTTATAATTGTATCATTGATAATGCAGTTAGTGAGGGTCTATGTCAGCCTTTTTTCCACACCCTTATAAAAGATTGGTCTCTAATTGTGATATATCTTGATTTCATAATTTAATGGTTGGACTTGTCTGGATTTGAGGTGTCATCAGAAATTATATTTCTTTGTTAAATTTTGCACAGTAATGGAAATTCATGCAAACTTCATTTATGTGATTCTCTGTATTCATGTCCATTTTTACAGGTTGGACAGAGCATTTTGTTGTCAAGATAAATGAGGGTCAAAGTAAACGCATTAGATGCATGGCACACAAGTGCAATTCCATTTGTGATGAAGCTGTTGTAAGAACTCTTCTAAGTAGAAAGCACCCTGATATGGCAGAGAAATATGAACGCTTTCTGCTTGAATCCTACATTGAAGACAATAAGAGAGTTAAATGGTGTCCCAGCACACCTCATTGTGGGAATGCAATACGGGTTGAGGATGATGAACCGTGTGAGGTAGAATGTTCATGTGGTTTACAATTTTGTTTTAGTTGCTTGTCAGAAGCACACTCCCCTTGTTCATGTTTGATGTGGGAGCTTTGGGCTAAGAAGTGTCGCGATGAATCAGAAACTGTTAATTGGATAACTGTTCATACAAAACCATGTCCAAAGTGCCACAAACCAGTGGAGAAGAATGGTGGTTGTAACTTGGTTAGCTGTATCTGTGGCCAAGCATTTTGGTGAGCACTCCTCCTTCCTGCATTATATATTCTCACCCAACTTTTTTCTGTTCATTAACAATTTGACGCAATTATATATTTTTTTGGCTATTAAGATTTGGTTAATTTTAAATATGGTAACTGGGATCAGGAGTTGATTTCTATAATAATTTTCCCTTTTTGGTGCAGTTGGTTGTGTGGTGGAGCTACTGGCCGAGAGCATACTTGGTCAAGTATAGCTGGTCATAGCTGTGGTCGATACAAAGAGCAAGAGAAAACAGCTGAACGGGCAAAGAGGGATCTATATCGGTATATGCACTATCATAACCGATATAAAGCTCACACAGACTCCTTTAAGCTTGAAAGCAAACTGAAAGAGACTATACAAGGGAAGATTGCAATTTCAGAAGAAAAGGATTCTACACTTAGAGATTATAGCTGGGTAAATAATGGACTTGCCAGACTTTTCAGATCTAGGCGTGTCCTATCATATTCATATGCATTTGCTTTCTACATGTTTGGAGATGAGCTTTTTAAGGAAGAAATGACAGAAGCTCAAAGGGAAATAAAACAAAACTTATTTGAGGATCAACAGCAGCAGCTTGAGGCAAATGTTGAAAAGCTCTCTAAAATTTTGGAGGAGCCTTTTGAAACCTTTTCAGATGATAAGGTTATGGAGATAAGGATGCAGATCATCAACCTTTCGACAATTACTGACAAACTTTGTCAAAAAATGTGAGTTCTGCTTTAAGCAAGGTCCTCGCACATTACTGACTTTTGACATTGATAATTGTCAATTCTGACATTTGATGCAGGTATGAATGCATCGAGAACGATTTATTGGGTTCTCTCCATCTTGGCATGCATAGTATTGCTCCATATAAGTCAAAGGGGATCGAGAGGGCATCAGAACTTTCAGTTTGTTGGAGCAACAAAGCCAATAATACTGGTAAATAGTTTTGTTTGAATAATTAGCTGGACCAAAACTTTATGCATTGGCTTTTTGTGAAAACTTCTCTCATAAAGAATGTATTAACATGAAATTTTGTGTGAGCTAATTATTGTTCTGAGTTGTTGAGCAACTAATTTTGATGGTTTTAAGGTTTTGATTTGTTGCAGCAACATTTTATTTTGTTATGCGTAAAAACAAATTATTTACAGTATTACGTCTACAGTCACTGCTATGATTCAACACATGCTATACTCTGGTTATAATAGACTACGATTTGTCAAAAAGTGTCAAGTTTGCGGATGAACGAAAATTACATATGTAATTTTGCTTATGATTCTTGAACTTGGTTTATTGGTTAGTATTAGTTTTCGTAGGTCTCACTTTTGAAAAAATTCACACATGGAAATATGGTGGCAACTTGTAAATTTATAGTTTTAGTTTTCTTATTCTATTATGTTACGAATGTTCTTATGTATGTTTTCTTCAGTTTGACTTTGTGGATGCTCATCAGAAATGTTACTGAGTGAAAAGGATTGTTGTATATATGCTGCGAGCGTAGGTGTAACAGCAGAACTTGATAGGCCTTCTGGATCAGGGAGTTCAGATGACAGTGGATGCTCGTCTCGGAAGCGTGCTAGAAAGGAGAGTGTTGGAGGTGGTTTTTTTGATCTAAACTTGCCAGCAGAGTTTGTAGACAGAAATTGACTTTGAAGGACACCTTATATACGTACAGGCGTACAGGTCTAACATAAATTGCTTTGCTGCCTTTAATGGAATTAATCATTTTGGATTTTACACCAATGCAGTTTACCCCCCACAATTTGCTTTCATATATATCTCTTTCTTTTGGCCATGTCTCTGCTGATGATATATGTTTCCAAAAGAATAGTTCCAAGCTCCTTATTCCTGCTTCATTTGCGTTTCTGTTTAAAATCCTAGCGCTGTATATAGCCTTGCTGCATTTATTTGCTAGTAGTTCATGTATAAATGTCTACCTGGGTTTTATCAACACCCTTGAGGACAACCTCTAGGATGTTCTTATTCCTATCTTTTGGAGTTACAAGTGGAGGTTACTTCACTTCCCTTTCTGTTTTCATTATTTTTCTTGTTCAAGCCCAATTTTTTTAATGCTATTTCTTTCCAAACATCGCACACATTAGTAAAGTGCTGATTTAATATATTTTAAGAAATCTGTATTAGTAAATATCTTTTTAATATATAGGGATGTGATGCAATGATATTGATGTCTAATACTGTAAAATAATATACAAAATATACTCGCGTTCTAAAAATAAAACGTAAGGTATAGTTAAGGGAAAATTAATTATATACTTGTCTGATTTTCTTTTAAATTGAATTTATTTTTACTTCATATTAGGAATAGGTTTTCACAAATTCGACTTTATGAACATAACCTAAATTGGAACCCCTATTCAATACGTGCTTGTGTATAATCCCATTTGCCACCGTTGGCAACATAGGAAATTTGTTCGTCTGTACAAGAAAACATAAAAGGACAATTTTTTGTGTGTGACTATTTTGATTGTATTCTTTTATATATATCTATAAATATAAGTTTTCCGTCTACGAAAGTTAGATTTATTTTTTATTTTAACTTTTTATATTTTCATGGTATTAACCTGTCATCTGTTTGTCAGCGACCACACGCGATCTTGATTTAAGAAATTCATGCGCTTATATGCATTAAAAAAATTGTAAAATACTAGTTAAAGAAATAAAAAAAATATTTTTTAAATTATTATTAATGCATTTTTATCATACTTTAATATGATTTTTAATAAAATTTTACTTATTAATTTTTTATCCAATGCTATTAGAGCATTGTTAAACAAGATTAAACAAGAATGCATCTTACATGCAAAAGTTCAAATTCGATTGTGTTCTAATCTCACGGATACACACGCATACATCTATGTATAAAGTTAAGTGGATCAAATTATTTAGTTCAACTCAATATTTTATTATTTGATTAAGATTTTTCAACGCTACTGTGGCTCATTAGTTTTTAAGAGTAATATTATGTTTTATTTATTTATTTGTTTTATTATTTTATGAGAGAGTATTAAATAATAAACAAATACATTTAATGTATTTTGTTTTTTGTTAACATGGGAAGAAGAGGAAGCAGGTGTAAGCTTAAAGAGTGGTGGAGGAAGAAAAGAAAATGGAAAAGAGAGAGAAAATTTGTAAAATAAAACTAGATATTTAATTCTTATAATAACGGAAGAGAATCTGAATCTTATTTTATATGAGATGAAATATATTTTTTAGTTTATTATAAGACTTTAGTTCTTAAAAAACAATGAAAAAAAAAAAGCTTTGTTAATTTCAACAAATGATAAGCAGCTAATACAATAAATGTGTAGTTTTCATAAAATTTTTCTATTTATAAACGTTTAAAATCCTTAAAAAAGACAGGAAAAACAGGCGTGGAAAGAGAACATTTCTCACAGAGCAAAACACTCCACTCTCACCAATCTCAACGAAAAGATTGTGTTTTTGTTTGAAAGAAAGTTGGGTTATCTTCTGACATTGTTATAAAATGTTCGGCACCCCATATCCATGCATTGGTTCCATATACTATCAAACACACTAACTCATTCATACACTTCAAAATATCATTAAATGCTTCCTCTAATTTATTTTCCTATTTTTTGATCTCCGTGCCTTTCCAGACTTTAACTCGAAGTTCTACTAACACGTCTTATATTGTTTAGTGTCAAGTTTTGACATAAGAAGCTTGATTTGCTGTATCTTAAACGTTTTATATTAATAAGTCATATCTGAAGACCCATTAATTATGTTAGCTTTGCACTAATTCTGAGGTCTTGAAATTAGTAGAATTTTTGTTCGTTTTGGATTATTGAATGAAAAGGTCGTACTAAGCGCTAATGTTATCAAAGGTTAAAGCCACAACTCACACAAGTATATATGTCTGTCAGTTTCCTTTGAAAACTTGATAATTGTTTTGTTCGATAAGAAAGGTCCATTTCTAATTAACTATTCCTATTTTTATTGATCAGAGTCAGAAACTCAAATGGTGACTTGAACCCTCTTCTACCCTTTTTAATTATTAATATCCCAACTTTGGGAAATAAAATAGAATACAATTGCATTGGTTCTCCAGATTAACCAAACCACAAGTCAAACTCCAAGTTGCAAGACCCAAATGTGGTTTTTACTTCTATTTTGCACCTAACCAACATTTGAAAGTAGGATCTCTTTAGAAGAGTCGAGGAAAAATTTATTAGCAATATATAATTTATAATTATTATAATTATTTATTTTGTTTTAGTAAATTTTTTAATATAATTTATTAAAAATGTACTTGACAATATAAGTTTATAACTTATTTAGGAATTATAATTTATATTGTTTTAAGAAAATAAGTTGATAAAGTCATTTAGTAACTAAATAATAGAATGAGCTTTTAAAAATTAGCTTTTGAAAAACTTGTTAAAGTAGCATTTAGCTTATAATTATCTATAGTTCTATCTTACTTTTATCCTTATTCTTTTAAATAAATTACACTTAGATAAAAATCTTAAATAATTTTGAAATTATATGTTAATATAATATTATATGTTTTTTTTTCAATCATTCAATATACTTTTAATTTTTTCAAACAACATTAATTCAATCAACTACTCAAAGCACTATAAACTTTCAACTAGTTTATAAGATATAAACTTTCTACTTAGCTTTATCAAACAACACATAAAATAAGTTATTTTAAATTTATTTTAATAAAATTTACTATTGAAGATATGAAACAAATTATTGTTTAAACACACTCCTTGATAACGCAGAAACATTTTATTTTTTTTAATAGGAAAAGAAAAGAAAGGTGAAAGAAAAAGAATAGCTGGTGAGCATATTATATTATCAACTTGTTAAAAGTTTATTCCTTCTTTTACTTATGGCCAAGAAAAGAAAGAAAGAAAAGCAGTATTCATCAAAGGGTATTTTATTTATTTGCCTAATGTAAAATATGTGTGATATTAACCATGGATACATGCAAATATCTACACCCTTTTTGTAACTACATAAGAGACATAATTTTATGCTCTTCACTACGTGTATAGCACCCTATCCAATGACAAAAGGCAAGGCACTTTTTCCCACCAAAGTAATTGACAATGCACAAATTGGTTGTATCCAATTTTCTCCATGAAATTGGACAAAGGACAGCCCACCAAAACCAGTCATTTCATATCAAAACATACACAGCTTCTTCCTTTGACAATAAACTTTCAGCCCTTTTGAGGCTCCTTTTCTTTAAGTGCGTCTTCCTTTTCCTTCCAAGTGACCAACCTCACTGTGTTTTCTTCTTCAAGTGGAGGGGTCGTGGGGAGCAAGACTATATAATACGCGGTTCAAAAATTAAGATTTTTTTTACTTTCTTAAATATATCTGTAAATTTATGTAATATTATGTTGAAACTGTTTTTTGTACAACATATAATTTAATAATGAAGCATACCCCTTTAATTGTTGTTTACATAAAATTACAATTCCTTACACCAAACGTGATCAATTATCTGTCAAGATTAGGTAGTAAAGTTATTACCATTGGTTTCACTTGCCATTGTCATAGGAGGATCATACCAGGTAGTCTAATTGGTAGGTAAAATTTGTTTGTGTAATGTATAAACAATTAGAAGTCATGTTATATTAAAAAATTGATAATTTCAATGTTTAATGTGAATTTAAACAATTAATAATGGCAAAATTTCATTAAAAAAGGGTATTTATTATAGTTTTATAACTACAATACAGTAAATGTGTTTTTTTTTTAATTTTCTACTTATATTGTTTAAAATAAACCCCAAAAACAAGTTTAAAATATCTAATTATATTTTCAACTAGAGAGATAAACTTACCGGGTTAAAAGTTGAAAACTATTCTTTAACGAAGAAAGAAAAATGACTTGATCAAACTTCAAGGACACTGCACTAGTGCACTTTTACCATTTAAAACCAAATCATGGTAAATGATTTGTGAAATGCACTACATGGGAATTTGCTATTGGAATGGCATAGAAAGAAATTGAAGTGCACGAGTGGATGGAACTGTATGCATTATGCTTATGCAAGTCCATTGTCCAACAAACTGTCATCTTAATCACCACTCTGTATTTTGTCACTTTGTTCCATTCTAAACGGTGAAGGTCTCAGCTTTTAGACACTGCTATAAGATAAAGGGAAAAACCAAACTGAAGTGCTTCTTTTCATGCAATGCAAAAAGCCCACCACCACAAAAGCTTCAAAGTTGGTGTGCCTTTAAACATGCATGTTATATGTAAGCATCATTGTTGATGGCCACAATCTGTGATGCACGTATCTCAGTTTGCTTCATGTTTCTTGTCATATCCTTCTTTTATAATCCCCAAGTTTTACTTTCAAATATATTCTTCAAAAGCTATGACATTATTTTCTTCTTTCAATGTAATGTAAAAAGCACAACTTTATCAAAGGCTTCCAAAAGGGTTGGTTAGTCATGTGAGACTAGTCAAAATAGTTTAAAAAATAAACCAAATCTTATGAGCTGCTATTGTCAACAGCAGTACTGCACAAATATACCCTTGTTGTCTTGGTATCTTTGTGGTTGAAAATCACATTTACCTGACGAATATAAAAAGGGAAAATGTGTTATTGAAATAGATATAACTGAGCCTATTTGGTTTTTGAACCACCAAACTCGGTTCAGCTTTCTAAAACTTGTCTGTGCGAGAAGTCTCATTCCATCAGAGTGGAGATTCTGCTACTTGTAAGCACACTATTGCTTTAAATTAATGTATTTTGGATGTATCTTACATTTTGACAATGTCACTGTTATGAAACTTTTGTCAATATCTGGTCCCAGTGTCTGTCGCATTTAATGTAGTTTTGGTGCATCCATGGGCAGTTTTTAAGCCAATTCTGACACTAACATGCATGAAATAAAGTGGCGGGATTCTGGTTTCAAGCAATTCAAGTTCATGGACCCAACTGTGTCAATTCCAAGTCACAACCGCTCTAACAGGTTTTTGTTGACACAATTGGTTTCTTACTTTGAACATTTTCTTTTCGTTCTTTGTGTGCTTGTCATCTTTCTAAACCAAATAAATTGAAGGAAAGATTTGCAGTGACATACATCTTGGTCTTCAGTAAGTATATTAACTTTTCAACCAAATAATGGTTCTTTAAGGTACCCAGAATTTGTTCTCACATTTTTGTTATTAAATATACATAATCTTGCTTTGTTTGAGAGGGATGATAACACTAGATTAACCTAACGGTTATTAGTTTCTAATGTTAAATATCATGTTCCTGAGACGCATATAATCAGTAGTAAGTGCTTTAAAAATCAAGGTGCAATTTGTACTTAATTCATCTAAACTGCCAAAATTGGTCCTACGAAGAAGTTCTTTTAATTAGTTTTGCAGGCTAACAGTATCAATGTTAACTTAAACGATGTGATGTGCCTCACTTCCTATTATTGACATTTTGTTACTGTTTTGCAGTGACCCAATGAAAAGGAGATTATTCATGGGAGATGAATTAGAGAGCATCAGTGAAACTTCTTATAGGCCTGAAGTGGTCTCTCTCTCTCTCTCTCTCTCTCTCTCTCTCAGAAACTTCCTTTACCAGCGTTGTTCTTTGATTTGTTAGCCCTGATTTTTTTGTTTTCTCACAAAAGAATGTTTTTCAGTTCATAAAAGTAGTGTTTGTTGTATTATATACTATGAAGCAGTACAACTCTTGCTAATTTTCTTTCTTTTATGTCACAAAAAGGAACTGGGGGAACTAAAGAAAAGCATTGAATCCAAGAAGAGGCAACACCATAATATGGATCTCCAAAGTTCCTTAACTCAAGAGGTAAAAATCTTGATTGATTAAGTTGTCACTATATGGGTTAGCTACTAATAAGCAAATGAATTTGAAGGCAATGATTCGATTTTCCTTGTTATACATAGCTTAGATAAGCCTTGAGTCAAGGAATGTAGAATTCATTTTATCTATAGCTTTTCATACAAATTAGCTTTTTATCTCTGAAGATTCTACAGCTTCAAAAACGATTACAGCAACAATTTGTGATACGGCATACATTAGAGAAAGCAAGTTATCTGCCTATTTCACAGGATGCTACAATAGAAAGTTCAATACCCAAGGTACATTTACATGGAAGTACAGTTTTACTCCTTAAATTGTTTGAAATTTTTTGGATCTTGCTTCTGACTATCCATTACATACACCTCTTACATTATTTTAGGCTGCAAAGGAACTGATTAAGGAAATTGGAATATTAGAATTAGAAGTCGTGTATTTGGAACAATATCTTCTGTCTTTGTATCGGAAAAGGTTTGATCAACAAATTTCATCTCTATCAACCAAGGAAAGGAGATTGGACTTAGCTTCAGACATTAACCAAGGAACGTCTACAGCGCCTGGCAGTGGTGCTATCTATGACAAAGAAATTTCAGTTGTGCACTCTAGTCATCACATTTCTCCCAGTAATTCAGCTGACTTTCAGATCAAGGAATGCAATAACCAGTTGGAACCAGAAACTGTTTTAGACTCTAGCATTCATCGATGTCACTCAGCGCTATCTCAACAAACAACATGCTCAATTGAAGCTTCTCCTGTGAACATTGAGACCAAAGCTTTAGACTCTTACCATTCTCTACCATTATCCATGTTAGAGGTAAGTATATGAAAACTAGAAGAAAAGTGGTCACTTCCTTTTATTTCATATGCAGGCCTCTAATATCTGGCTTCCAAATTATTTTCACCAGCAAGCTCAGTGCGCTAAATCCAGTTCAACCAGCTTGGCAGAGCATCTTGGGAATTGCTGTGTGGATAATGTTCCAGAAACACCAAATTGGCTTTCTGAGGAGATGATTAAGTGCATATCAGCTATATATTGTGAACTTGCAGAGACACCTTCTCTTGGTCATAAAAATGCTTCATCCCCTATTTCATTCTCATCATCTGGCTATGATTTATCTTCACAGAGCCAGAGTAGTAAGTTGGGATCACAATGGAAGAAACATTCATCCATCAATTTAAACTCCAGTAACCCTCTCCACGTCAGAGGCTTCAAAGAATTTAATGGACCTTATTGCTCAATGATAAGGATACATCAATTGTGCACAGATAACCAGAAATTAAAAGAAATTGAGTACATGCTCCGTAGATTTAGGTGAGCCATCTTATAGTGCTTATTCTCTTTAATCATGTTGTTTTATTCAAATTCATAAGTTCCTTTTAAATAATCTGTTTGTTGGATTAAGAAACAACACATCAACGCTTTTACGATGAAAATTGAAGTCATCAACAATAGTACAGTGCACCAAAATGTATGCGGTATACCAAGATTTGAACATGTTCTTTTTGGTTAGATGCTTTCTTTTTTGTGATAGAACAACTTGCATCCTACTCTCTTGCAGGTCACTTGTTTCTCGGCTAGAAGAAGTTAATCCTAAAAATATGAAGCACGAAGAAAAGCTCGCCTTTTGGATTAATGTGCACAATGCCTTAGCAATGCATGTAAAATTTCTAAATCTCTATTCTTCTTTATCTCATTCATGGTATTGCTTCAAGTCCATGAACCAATCCCACCATCTTCTTGTCTGTCCTCCACAGGCCTTATTAGTTTACGGAATTGCAGCCAACAATGATAAAAGAATGTCTTCAGTACTTAAGGTACGTTTGTCACTCATAAAACTCCATGGAATCGACTGGTATTTATGAATTCTTACTAAAATAAGCAAATATATTTCAGGCTGCATATAACATTGGAGGACATACTATAAGCGTAGACCTGATACAGAATTTCATTCTGGGATGCAGATTGCCTCGTCCAGGACAAGTAAATATGATTTCCAAAAACTTTTAAGAAGACTCCATATTTCATTTTACATTGCAAACAAATTAGTAAGCTCAAATCATATTGTCTTTCGCCTTTCTTAACACAGTATTCAATCTTTCTTTTTCTCCTAGTGGCTGCGGTCATGGTTTCCTTCAAAGACAAAACCAAAAGTTAGAGATGCAAGAAAAGGATATGCTATACATCATCCAGAACCTTTATTATTATTTGCTCTTTGCTCTGGAAGCCATTCTGATCCCGCGGTAGACTTCTGGTCTTTTTGTATTTTCAATTTGTTTGTGTAGAGGGATATGTATAAACCTAAACCCTAAACCCTCTTCTCTTGGTAACTCAAGAAAGCAGAAAGCCCATCTTTATAGATGTAGATTATTTGAAACATTGTCTACAGGTCTGAATATAATGATTTGAACAAACAAAATTTTTCAATTGATTCTTGCATTTATACAGTTACTGCTTTGGGCTATAATAGATGACTTTGTACTTGACATTATTTAATGTAACTTTACACAACTCCCTGCCCTCAAGAAATTATCTTATTTGGTCACTTTCTCAGACTCTCAGCTGGGGTTGGTTGTAACTTTCTCAGGTACGTTTGTACACATCCAAGAGAGTCTTGGAGGAGCTAGTATCTGCGAAAGAAGAATACATTCAGTCCACCATCACCACAAGCAAGGAACAGAAAATAGTTCTCCCAAAGATAGTTGATTCCTATGCAAAGAATTCAGGTCTAGGAGCATCAAATTTGATGGAGATGGTTAAGCCTTATCTACCAGATTCTCAAAAGAGAATTCAAGAGCTTCAATCAAAGACAAGCTGGAAAGGAATTGAATTAACCCCTCATAACTTCACTTTCCATTACTTGATTTCAAAGGAATTAGCTTGGTAACGGCATGCTTGATAGGATTCATGAATTTGTCTGGGTAGAATAGTTGTCTGTCTATTCTCTATCCACATCCATACAAGACTTACATCTTATGGTAAGCAGAAGAAATGTGTCTACCTTGTATCTATGAAAATAATAAACTCAGAACAGAAACACTCGGAAGGTGAGGGTTGGAAGCAGAGAAAAAAGTAAGTCGGATAGCAAGCAACAATCTGAAAATTTTGGTGGCTAGTACTACAGATGTTTTGCTGCATAACTCTATCTTAAGGTCCTTGGGTTTAAGTATTTTACTATAGCTAAATTTTTATTTTTTTTATCACATTTTGGATGTATATTCTTAATTCTTTTCCACAACATCTGCTTTGTCTGATGGATCAATCCTGAACACTTTTTGTGTGTCTGCTCACTGGTCATTAGAAATCATTACTGCCACCTAGAAATGCTACGAAGTACAATTTTTGTGGCCTTTTTGCCATACAAAATGAGAAGGTAACGGGAGAATCATTGAAAATAAATCCATTTACTCAAAAAAATTCTCAATTTTTAATTATTTCTACAAGTTTTAGTTATATAGTTAGAATCATGGTTTCTCATTTTTCTTTCTAGGGAGGAATTAATACACTTTTCAATCTAGATTAAATTTTAAATCACGTTGTGGATGGCACCAATAGATATATTAATTTTCAGATAACCATAAACATAACAAGCCAAATGTATCTAAAGTATCTCCAAGGATCTCCAAGGACCCGAGCAAATCCTTTGGAAACACTTAACATGAAGGCACAGCAAAACTACCCTAGGTGAATAATGGACTCATGTTATTCGTCCCCAAAGAATGGCATAAAGCAAGAAAGTCAACACTCAACAGCCAGCTACAACAGCCCTAGCTCCTCACATGCTTGAAAACCGAACTAAAGCATAAGAATTCAGGAAATGTTCCTACTTTGTCATCCGCATGCTTCAAATCACCGACTGTAGCACCGACATGCTTAAGGATAAAATCACCTCACCATGAACTTTCATAATCAATGAGCTTAGTCCTTCTTTACTCCATATGTCACCAAATATGAGACACTGTTGGTCATGTAGCTTGAAAAACAACAACATTTCTGTCTTGAATAACTGCCTTCACAGAAGTTTGCATCCTGATAATCGATTTATAAGTCATTTTGCCAACTTAAGGTTCTTTGTTGTACCTTACTGCACTTGCCAATATATTCTGTGAAAGATAGGATATGATAATATCACATATATTAACATGTAGGTTCAATTATTAATACATAATACCAAGGGCAATTTACAGCAAAGATGAAATGGATCATTAAAAGATTTCTGCATAAAGGTTATAAGTATATTATACAAATACATACAAGAGGGACAGGTCATTTACCTGGTATTGGTGTAAAGGTGAAGTAGCAGGATGATGAATTGGCTAGGTTGGTGAAAAGGTGAAGTAGTCTCAGTCTGTCAAAAACTCTTATACATCTCTTCCGTTCACGCTTTCATGAAAAAGTAAGGTCTGCCAATAACTTTCACAGTAGTACTATAATTTTGATTGAGTATAAACTCAATTCCTTGATGCAATAGTATCTATAAGCATGCTGTATTGAATGGTGGTCTTATGATCTCTACATGGCAGGGTATCCACTTTGAGTGGCATTGGCTAGTTGACCATCAAAGTATATCCTCAACATCACCCTAAATTTCATAAAGTCGCTTCATTTCTGCGAAAGATAAATGCATTTTTCCGTTCAAGCATGCCAAAGTTGAATATATTATATCTGCTTTTGAATGAGATGTATCACCAGAAGTAAATACATGAATACCATTTTCCACATATATCCAACTGCAACCAGCAAGCTTCTTAGCTTCGTTCCCTCTCATTTTCTTTCTTATTTGTCCCATCTCATCCCATTTCCCTCTGGAAGCATAGGCATTCGCCAATTGCACATATCTAGACCCGTTATCTACCTCAACATTTAATAGGTTCTCTCCTACCTGTTTGACAAGTGCAGTATTACTGCTCATCTGACAAGCATTAAGAAATGCTCCCCAGATTGTAGCATCTATCTGTATGGGAATCTTCCTCATGAATTCTACTGCCGTTTCTAGTTGATTAGCCCTTCCATACATATCAACCATACACGCATAGTGGTAAATTTCAGGCAATACACTGTAATCTTCTTCCATGGAAATAAAAAATTCCTCTCCTTGTTCTACTAATCCACGGTGTCGACAAGCTGATAGAAGCGCAACAAAAGTGACTGCATCCGGCTTGACACTTTTCTTCAACATTTCCTGAAAAAGCTGAATCGCTTTATTTTCAAAGCCATGATGAGCATAACCAGCTATCATGACATTATATAAGATTGCATCTCTATCGCTATCAGTGACTAGTTGGAAGAGTTTCTCGGCATATGTGATATTCCCACATTTTGAGTACATATCAACCAAAGCACTCAGCAATTTTTCATTCATCTTAAGTTTCATTCTCCACATGTAAGCATGAATTTGCTTTCCCAAACAAAGAGCAGCTAGCGTGGTACAGGCACCAAGCACACTTATAATGATCATTGCATCAGGAACTAGTGCTTCTTTAGTTCTAAACTCCCTGAAAAGTTTGAAGACTGCCTCACATTGTTGTGATTTGACATAACCTGAACATAGAGCTGTCCAGACAACAATGTTTCTTTCTGACAGTGAATCAAAAAGTCTTTGGGCTTCTGTCATGTTGCCTTGAGATGAATAGCCTGCAATCAAGGAAGCAGCTGCAAATGGGCTTTTAATCCCAATTTCTGTATACACTGAATCTGCATATCTAACATTCCCGCATTTAGAGTAGAAGTCGACAATGCCACTGCTAATAAATTGATTTGAACTGTAACCATTTTTCAACACCCAAGCATGGACAGACTTGCCGAGTTTCAATGATTTTAGACCAGAGCAGGCACTCAAAACACTTGATATAGCGTGTTCACTGAAATCAATACCATTTTCCATCATCTCAACAAACAAGGTAAGTGATTTCTCCATATAGCCATTTTGGGCATATCCTGCAATCAATGTGTTCCAAGACACGGTATCATTTAATTCAGGATATTTCCAAAATACATTTAAAGCCATGTCCATCTTTCCTTCCCTACAACAAGCTGCAACCATTGCATTCTTTGAAACCAAGTCTATCATCCCATCACAACCATTGAATACATCGAATGCTTCACAAAAGGAACCACATTTAGAGTACATGTCTATGAGAGAACTCACAGCAAACTTACTTAAATCATTTGCAGTTTTCACCATATATGAATGCATCTGCTTCCCATAACACACCACGAGTAGTTTGGCAGTAAGGTTAAGCATGGTAGTGAGAGTGAAGTCATCAATCCCAATTGTGTCACGTGAAGATTGCATTCTAGTAAACAAATCAAGTGCTTCATTCTCATACCCATCAGCACCAACATAAGCTGACAACATTAAATTATAGGAAACTAAATCTCTGCGAGAGGCAGAGTCAAAAAGGGCTCGTGCTTGAGTCAAGTTGTGTGCTTTTATGTAAGCCATAATTATGGCATTCCAAGAGAATACATTTGGCTGGGGCATTTCATCGAACAGTTTGTGAGCCTCGTGCAAAAGGCCATGGTTGGAATAAAGGTGAACGAGTTGATTGCAAGTGAAGATGCTTGACACCAAACCAGATTTTATTGCATCGACATGTTCACGGTATACCAGAGCATCTCTTACCCTCAGAGACCTCATTGGCATTTCAAACCAAGGCACTTGTTATTCCTTTTGAAAATGTAAGTACTGTTTGTATGTTCCTTGTTGGACCCAAAAAAAAAAACAAAAAGGATAACACCATTCAAAATTTTTGGACAAACAAAAATATAGAATTTATCAAAAACTTCAAAAAATTGAATATATGTGATGATGTTATAGGCTTGCTTTGTATTTTAATTTATGTTCATTTATGCATGCAAATCAAATGATATGTGAATAAATTTGCATATGAAGTTGATGTTGGCTTTCACAAATCTATATTCTGTGTGGATTGAAGAAGCCCCACCCAATAGTTGTATTATTTCTTTGTTGGATCTGTTTGGTTCCCTTTATCCAAAGCCTCTCTTCCCAGTTTAAAAATGCTTCTCAACAATAATTAATTATTACATTTCCAACTCAGATTATGATTGGATTCATCAAAATAAATGAAATTAATCGTCATATATTTAAATTGTTTAAAATAAAATCAAATACTATTTGACATGGTTTGTTTTACTTTATACTTTCGATTTCCCATGTTATTATTTTATTTTTATAAAAAAATATAATTTCTTTGATGAAGAACGATTCGATATATCTTTTATTATTTAAGATAGGATATTTTTTAATTATAAAAAAATAATTTAATTTTGATATATTCAATTTAACTACATATATGATAGATCCTTCAATTTAACCTAAAATTATTATTATTTTTTTAAATACAAAATAAGGCGACCAACCTTACTTCAATATTTTCAGAACTTAAAAAACTTTTATTATTTACTAAAATGTAATTTATTTAGCATTAATGTAGTCTTATAAAATTTTCATGGTTTAATTAAATATTTGATTTATATATAAGCTGTATAATTTAAATTTAATTTTTATAAAAATATTTGTTAAAATAAAATTTTTAAATATTTGGAGGAGAGAGATAGAGAGAATTTGAAGGGGAAAAAAAAAAAGAAAAAGAGGTCAAACATCTATTTATTTGGATGTTTAAAATTGAAAAAAAAGAATGATAAAGTGTTTAATAATATAAATAACATTATTATTTTTATATATTTTATTAAAAATATATAAAAACTTAAATATGTTTTTCCTTGAAATTAATATTTTTAAATATAATGTTTTTATTTTTTTACAATTTCTTTAAAATTCTCACTTTAAAAATTAAAATATTTTTAAAAAATATTATTTTTCTTTAAAATTAACTTCAAACTTTTAAAAATATTTTTTTTTTACTATTTCATTCATCTAATAATCAAATTGAAGTAAAAAATATATGAATTTTAAAAATGATAAAAAAAAAAAGAAGAGATAAGAAGATTACAAAGATTTAAAAAAATTCTTAACTTTTTTTTATAATTAATTAATTTTTAAATAAAAGTTAAACCTTACTGACTTGTTCTTTTTTCTTATCTCTCTTTTTAAACATGAAATTTAATACATAGACATCCAAGGAATATCAAACTTTTAGGTAGGCTATGTGAGCTAGAAAAATTATAAAATATATTTTAATAAAATATTTAATAAAAATTAAATACAAATCCTATAATTTTATATCAATCAAACACTTAAGACAACATTCAATTGCATGGCTAAAATAAATTAAAAAAAAAAAAGAAAATTGAGTATTTTGTGGAAGTGATATTTTGTGTTCATATTATTGGTCTGTTTGGGGAGTTTGAAAAGACAGAAAAGTGAGGGAGAGAGTAGATTTTCATAGAGATGGGAAGCACCAGAATCACTTGATTGGAATCCCCACCACTGCCAGACAGTGATAGATTGACAGAAGCAGCAAAGAGAGGTATTTTGGCGCTTTTGTATTTCATTTTCATGTCCTCTGAAATTCGCAAAAATTAATAATGCAAATTCAAATCACAAAGTCTGTCCTTTGAAATTAGGATCCAACACAGCACAAGAAACAGACGCAGACAGATAGAGAGAGAAATGGAGGACGAAGGAATAGGGTTGGTGTTGGCCAGAGCCACAGAACTTCGTTTCAAAATCAGCAATTGCATCAACAGAGCCACCGCCAATGGCCCCTCCCAACACGCCGATGACGATGACGACGACGCTACTGAAAGGCTTCTCAACATTTGCGATGCCCTCGAGGCCTTGGAGACCCAGCTTTCTTCCTTGCAGGTACCCCTCTTTTCAAAATCTCTCTCTTTTTTTAAGAGTAAATTAGGGTTTTCAATTTGGGACTTTTTAGTCATTAGGGTTTGTGGGGGAATAGGAAGAGGGCTCGTCTTTTAATTTTTTATTTTATTTTTTTTAATGTTTAGCTTAATGGTTGATTACTGATGCAGCAATCAGTAAATTTGAGATTTGACTTGCGTTTTGGTCCATCTCTTAGTAAGCCCAAGAAACCCTGCATTTTATTTCTGTCTTAAAGTCAAAATTGAAGTTCTTGTTCTTACTTGCTTTATAGTGTAATATTTCTGTTATTATGATGCTTGCTTGATTAGATTATTGTAGAAATTTGGTGAATATATTCATCCTACCTTACAGTTACAAATAAAGCTCCGTTGCATATTTGCATTCTAAATGAATAGTTTTCTCATTCTTGGCCGTGCAAATCCCAGTGTGAAGTGAAACTTGATTCATTGGAACTAGTGATCAATGTGCCTTCAGTCTTTTACACCTCTTTGCTACAGTGTCACTGAAAGAAATATGATTTTTGTTATCATCAGTACGAGGTTATTATCATTGAACTTGCGATGGTACTTGTGCTATGATTTTTAAAGTTTTTCTGATTTGTTGTTATGATTTGCTATGGAAAGTAATCGAAATATGATTGAGATAATAGTTTGGGAATCATAAGTATTTTGTGCAAATTACAGGTTCTGCAGCAACAACAGCGGTTTGAAAGAGAAATGGCCTTGACTGAGATTGAAAATAGTCGCAAAATGTTAATTGATAAGCTTAAGGAGTACAAAGGCAAGGAATTGGATGTGATACATGAAGCTTCCACTTTTGCTAGTGAAAAGGTGGAGCCTAACAATGATCTACTGCTTCCTCCATATCCAAGCCGCCCTCCATACTCTGCATCTCTGGACAAGGAATATCTCTCACAAATCCCTTCCGTGAATAAGTCTGGTCGCAATGGGTTAATCACACTTGATTCAATGATTGAGGCAAAAAAGAGTTTAAGTGAGAAAGGGCAAAATCATGTTGAAAGTGGAGAAAAAAATTCAAGAAAAGGATTGGGAGCTTTTATGACTTCTGCAGCCAAAACAATGCTCACAGTAGTTGGCGTGGTATCAATAGTAAGTTTGTCTGGTTTTGGGCCTAATTTAGGTAAGTTAGGCATTCGTTTCAGCGTACAAGGCCGGAGTCAGTCTCACGGAGTAGAAAATGAGAACAAGAGGACCATCACTAAGAATGAGAGTGAGAAACCAATTACTCAGTGTCCCCCTGGGAGAATTCTGGTGCTGGAAAATGGCGAAGCTCGATGTCTAGTGAAGGAGAGAGTTGAAATTCCATTTTCAGCTGTTGCTGCAACACCTGATATAAACTATGGATGTGGTTAAGAATAGCATTCTTTCTCCATATTGTATATCACTTCACTTTTTGTCAATATGCTTTTTAAAAAATTATCTTCAGTGGCTGATTGTCTTGATTTTTGGTTGCTGATATTTAGGTAAGTGATGTAGTTGATCATTTATTTTTTTAAAATGAGAGAAATTTTGACCTGAGGCCACTTACACTTCAAAGGGTACGCTGTTGATTACCGATTATTTGTCAGCACGTCACCATCTCTTAAGGGTATGCTGTTTTGCAATTGAGCTTTCACCTCTAGCACTGTTTTTGGAAGTGTAGTTATGGCAAGGCCTTAATGCTGTGCCTCTTTTAATTGTTGGTGGGAGTATACGGTAGGTTATTTAGAATTCCCCCATCAAGAGATGTGTCCAAAATGGCAAACATCAAAGAAAAAGGGTTGTAAGAGGATTTTGCGCTAAAGGTTTTGTTGCTGCCTATGAGTTCCAATTAGGGATGTGATGAGGAAATTATTGTTAACACGTGATCACTTCATTCAATAAAAAATGCATTATTAGGGTGGGGGAGATCTTGGCCAGCTGTTTATAAATGTGTTAAGAATAGGAAGGGCGTATGATGAATGAAGGTCTAATCTACACCCCACAACTGAATCAGCATTAAAAGTAAATAAAGATATTCTTCTTATGATTGTAACCAGTTGCTCTGTAGAGCCCATGACTCAAAACAGTTAATATCCAACTACACTTACATTTGTTGGAGTTGTCCTCCTGAAAATCCTGTGTGTTAACGTAAATCATTATGGCTACGTTTCATTGCTCACGAATATTACTATGTTATTGGTCCAAATCCTCCTTTGTTGTCGATTGCGATATTAATTGCCTTAAAATGGAGACATTTGTCCCTCTCTTATTAGAGTAGGTTTGAGAGAGATGAAATATAAGAATTAAGGTTAAAATGCTCTCGCATGTAAATTTCATATCTCTCTCTTTCTGAACCTTCACTTCCCTCCTTTGGTCTATGAATGGTGTCTATATTTTTTATTTCCATCTGAATAATATATAAACAAGTATTTTTATAATTTCACCTGACTTATAATTTTTGTTTTTTTTTCTGATTTTATAATTATATAATAGGGTTCTAAAACATAAGACACAATATTACAGCATGTTTAACATTTCTCTTAGAGGTTAATTTGTTCATGGCTAACGCAAAGAGTGGTCAATCAATCGTTAAAGTTCAAACTTCAATCCATGTGGCTACGTTGGCAGGTCATCACCATTTGCATCTTCCAAGCGTGGAGGATTTATTTGGATATTAATTTATTCAGCAAACGGTGCGAACGGGAAAGAGATAAACTAAAAAATTATATTATTTGAAAAATTAAAAATAATAATTTTTTTTTGGGAAACAAATATATGAGATTGAATAAAGCGAAATAAATTTTATTCCATTTCACCATGTTAAATATTTGAACAATATTATTATGAGTAATAATTATCATAATTTTTAGGCATTTAAAATATTTTATATTTATTGAACTCAAATTCAAAATTAAAAATCAAGGTTTTTTATGATATTCCATTGAGCATATAAAAAGTATTATATTGAAAAAAATAAAAATAGAATGAAAGAACGTGCGAGGCACAGGGGAATGACTACCCATTGCGACGAAGAGGCAACTTGATTATGAAGGAATTGCACTATAAAAGGTGCACCAAACATCAAGCATCAAACAAGCCACAACATCATCCACTGTCACTGTTATCACAATTGCCAGATAACATGGCCACCAACGTTGAGGGCAAAGGTTTCACCGAAGAGCAAGAAGCTCTGGTGGTCAAATCATGGAACCAAATGAAGAATAATTCTCCACAACTGAGTCTCACGTTTTTCAAGAAGTAAGCCAATCCATTTCTTCAACTTCATCTATATACTCCAACTCATTTTGCCTTCAAACTTTTTATTTAGAATATTGGAGATTGCTCCACCAGCTAAGCAACTCTTCTCCTTCTTGAAAGATTCAGACCTTCCTTTGGACCAAAACCCCAAGCTCATGTCCCATGCCATGGCTGTCTTTGTCATGGTAAGCTTTTTACTTCACCATTTCGATCGATAACTTTATTTGTTGGATTTCTCTAAATTATGTCATTGATAATTAAATGATCTCATCTTATTAATAAGATTCTATTTATAAAATGTTAATGTAGTTTTTAATATATTGTCTCAATTTCATTATTCTCCTTAACGTATTTAATTACAACCGATCATGAAGTACATAAATTGTGTCTCTTGGTATCATTTTATTTTGTTTTTGGTATTGCAGACCTGTGAATCAGCGGTTCAACTTAGGAAAGCTGGTAAAGTCACTGTGAGAGAATCAAACTTGAAAAAGTTAGGTGCTACTCATTTTAAAGCAGGTGTAGTAGCCGAGCATTTCGAGGTATATATTTTTTCAATATGAGCATAGCTGAAATTGTAACTGTCAAATGTCAATAAATATCATATTATTTACATCAATATATCTATATCTCAGCACCCTATGTTAATCTTGCATGGTGAGTGCTTTTGCATTTGATGGAGTACTTTTCTAGAAGATTAATGTATAGTTGATTCTTTGGTTTTTTTAAGGTAACCAAGGCGGCACTTGTAGAGACCGTAAAAGAAGCAGTGCCTGAAATGTGGTCACCGGCAATGAAAAAAGCATGGGAAGAAGCTCATGATCAGCTGGCTGATGCCATCAAATCCGAAATGAAACCCTCCTCTTAGACTTTCTTCCAATTCCTTAGCTCATTTCCTCTCAAATTGAATAATATTCGTTTGTATGAATAATATATGTATGTTGATGTTGGGGTTGCTATGTTTGAAAGTATTTAGCATTAATTAACAATTCATAATTGTAATTTGTAGGTGATGAATTGTAAGAATTCTTAAAATCTGTTCTCTTTAAAATTATTTGGAATGGAACATGAAGTATTATTCAATTCGTAAGAAAAGTAAGTAGTGCACTCCTTTTAGAAAGAAAATCAGGTTTGAGAACAATATTTTAAAGCTCAGAAGCTTGATTGTTTGATTTCCTTGACTACATGCAACATACATACATACATATATATATATATATAAGCATTTGTAGTGGCCCCCTTATAATTGTGGAATAGAATAGAGACAACATAATCAAATAATTAATGCTTCACATATTCTGTTGACGAATTCTAGCTGGTTGCAGATACGATCAGAATTGATAGGTATCAATTTATGATTAGCTCAATCAATCAGATATTATCATTTAAAATATTTATTTTAACTCTTTTTAATACTTCATCTTTCTATTTTTAGGTAAAATGCCAGCTCCACTAATTAAATTGGGTCTAATTTTCACTAGTCTGAGTTAGGTTTTGCTTAATAAAATATTAAAATAAGAATAACAATATGATGAGTTGCAATTTATATGTGAGTGACTTTTATTTAAATATCATTCATGCATTGTTATGGGCAAACTGATTGGTCAAATTACTAATTCATTACTCTTAATTTGTACTTAATACTTCGTAAGAAATAGCATTTTTAAAAAGAGAAAAAAAAATCAAAGAACATATTGTGAGTATTTTGATGACTTACACAATCATCTTGCATTGGATTGTTTTTTGGGTTTATTATTTAAATATTAAAAAGTTCATATCATATTTTTTTGGTGTCACATTTTAAAAATGCACTTCATAATCAAATGAGACAAAGTTGTCTCATTTTGTTGTTCAAAAGATATTATCCTCTGTTTTTTATGCACAGCATGCACTCAATATCACTAACAGTTGGCAAAGAATAACCGGGTTTAGTATCACGTAGTCATCATAACAAAACAAAAAGATAGAGAAGAGAAAGAAGTATGAAACAAAATAATTAATATAATGGAAAAAAAATAGTGCTGTAAAAAGTTATTATAAAAATGTTATATAAATGATATAATTCTAATATTACTATCAATGAATTGATTCCTTATATCATATATTTCATGAAATTATGTTTTTTCCTCATTAACTTCTTATATGTTACCCTCGGATTTTCTATTATATTCAATGATTTTTTGTCAATTGAATAAGTCACTCAAACGCAACAATAACAAATTACTACAGCTTTCTCTAATTTATTTTAACATTATCATTTTTATACATTAACCTCATATTTAAAAATTTTGAGTTTAAAATATCTCTATTATTAATGTACTTATAAAAAATAACATTTTAAACAAAAATTATTTGAATAATGATTATATTTACATAAAAATAAAGATTTAAAAATGACGATAGAGACACTTTTTTTGGCAAACTTTTGCCAACGAAGGATCAGAGTATAATTGAGATAGTCGTTTGGGAATCATAAGTGTATGCAATTTACGGGTTCTGAACTACAGCAGCGGCATGAAAGAGAAATTGCCTTGGCTCAAGCTGAGATAGAAAACTATGGGAAAATGTTTTCGGTGATTATAAGATTTTTTAATTAAATTATACATGTTGAAAATTTATTTAAAATGATCAACATATTGTTTTTGAAAAATTAGTTTATATATATTTCTCTATTTGGATTCATTTTGCTACTGTCATTGCAAATTTTGTCCATACCAGAGATGAAATTTAACTTTTATTTAATTTTTTTAATTAAAATTTGTATACAAATGACACAAAATTAAAAGATAAAAACATGTATTAAAATTTTGTTATATTTCATTTGTACTAGAAACAAAATTGTATTTATAAAAAAATTAACAAAACTTGCTATATTACAACACATGTATTTGTTCTGTATATTTGCAAACAAAATTTAAGGGATTTGGATCTTTTCTAGTTGTGACAGTAACTAGATATTTAGTTTTATTTTTTTTTAAGTAAAAATGTAAAAAATACAAAAAATTTTAATGTAGAATTAGCTAAAGCAAATTTTTTTGCCTTAAACAAATTTTACAAATTCGCTTAACAAATTATTTTGACTTAAGTAAATTTTGTACATTTGAAGAAATGAAGGTAATGTGTGAGGGAAAGAGGGGACCTAAGAAAAATAGAAATAAAGAGAATGTGATATAAGGATGATGGTGGAGAGTTGAATATGAAAGAAAAGAAAAAGGATAGGTATGGAGTGTCGTGAGAGTGTAAAGAGAAAGAGAAGAGTCGGGTATGAGATGGAGTGAAAAATGAGTTGAGAGAGGAAGAGAGGAGTTCGATATGAGAAAAGGAAAATTGTTGAATATGAAGGTTAAGAAGAAAATGTTAATTATGGAAAGAAGGAGAATAGAAAATTGAAAGAGAAGGCGCAAAATTCGTTTAACTAAAATAATTCGCTTAAGTTTAAGTAAAATTTTTTGTCATTTTTTATATTTTTGCTTAATCTAATCTATTTAATTTAAATAAAAATAAAACTAGATATCCATTTCACTTAGAGGAGATCCAAATCCAAATTTAAGAGCATTTGAATATGTGACACAATTTCCTAATTTTTTCTACAATAGAAACAAAATTTAAAAATAAAAAAATAAATTTTATCTTTTATGTAAACAAAATAAAAAATAAAAAATAGTTTTAAAAATTATTATTTTAATAAGTTATTTTTTAAAACATATTAAAAATTAAAAGTCGATAATCATATTGGAGTACAATCAGTGTAGCCAAAAAAGCTTATTATATTAATTATTAAAAAATTAAAAATATAAAAAATCTTATATTGAAGGTTAAAAGAGTTAGAAGAATTTGATATAAAAAGTTAGGGAAGAAATATAATTATTTATGAATAAGATATGGCAAGGAAGGGAAGTGGGGCTTTGTTACGTGTGTGCATAAGACTTTGAATAGAATTTGATATGGTCATGGCTTACGAAAGGGGTTCAACCATTCAACCCACGTAGCCCAAACCATTCTATTCTCTCCTCAATCAGCCCCTAGTTTTGGACACCTGGTAATGCCACATTGCAACTGTTTTTATATACAACAAAGGCTGCAACTCAATCAAATGGATTGAATTGTATTAACATATAATGACAAAACAAGTAACATTTGGATATATAAGAACCACTAGATCTTGAGCAACAAGCCATCGATAATGACTCCCCATTCCCATGAAAGGCCAACAACGATCACACTATAAAAACTCAAAGCCATCACAATCCACAAACACATACCTTGATTAGCACCCACCTAGCATACTAGAGAACATGACAACCTCCGAGGTCAAAGGTTTCACGGAAGAGCAAGAAGCTTTGGTCGTGAAATCATGGAACGTCATGAAGAAGAATTCAGGAGAACTTGGTCTCAAGTTTTTCTTGAAGTAAGGCATTCTGTTCTTTAACCATTTTGAGCTTATATCTCATGCATCTTTAATTTGTTTGACCAACCCATGACTTTTCATTTGGTAGAATATTTGAGATTGCTCCATCCGCTCAGAAATTGTTCTCATTCTTGAGAGATTCAAAAGTTCCTTTGGAGCAAAACCCGAAGCTCAAGCCCCATGCCATGTCTGTCTTTGTCATGGTAAGCAAGCCTACTTAGTTTGACTTTCATTACCATTGAGACTTTGAATTAGAGCCACCACTTTTCATTTGCATGTATCAAAGAAAAAACTGTTTCTTAAATGTTATGTTTTTTAAAGAGCACAATAAAAAAAATCATAAAATTTAATATATTAATAATATTAAATGTTGTCATTTCAAAAAATTTCCTTGCTTAATTTTGCTTTTGTTATTGCAGACTTGTGAATCAGCGGTTCAACTGCGGAAGGCTGGTAAAGTCACCGTTAGAGAATCTAACTTGAAAAAATTAGGTGCTACCCATTTTAAAACCGGCGTGGCCAATGAGCATTTTGAGGTATACATATATATAAACTACACAAAGCTTTGTTTATTTGCAAGTCACAGTGTCCATAAATAGATCGAAAATGATATATTTGCTCAAATGTAATTTAGCTGAAAAAAAAAAGCATTATATTATTCCTATTGCTAAAATACTTTTTATAATTCATTTTTTCTCTCTGTTTCTTTACATATCTCAGCACCCTATATTCATTTTTTTAATATATGGAGAGTACATTTGTAGAAGACTAATGTATATTTTGTTTTTTTAAATTTTGTTAAGGTAACAAAGTTCGCACTTTTGGAGACCATAAAAGAAGCTGTGCCTGAAATGTGGTCGCCTGACATGAAGAATGCATGGGGAATAGCTTATGATCAGCTGGTCGATGCCATTAAAGCTGAAATGAAACCCTCCTCTTAAATCCTTTCATCTCAAATTGAATAAAATTGATGGAGTCACAAAGTTTTTGAATAAAAGAGCTAGTGATTGAGCCTGTGTTTTTATTTTGTGTGAATAGAATGTACTTTTATGTTGCTATTGAGGTTGGAAAGTGTTTTGCATTTAACAATATCATACAGTTATGGAAGGTGATTTTATGAATACAATAAAAGTTTCATTTAGCAATTATGTTTTAGACTTATTTGGTTAATATAAAAATTCAAACTTATTCTTTATGAAATATTTTGTTAAAATTACAAATTATTATTTAAGAGGCCGTGTGTGTACCCGTTTGTCTCTGCCTCAACAAATAACAGGGGAAACAGAAATAGCAATCAATTGTTGTGCGTGCCTTTCTGAATTTGTAAATTATTATAGAAAAATAATTATATATAGAAAAGGGAAAAAGGGAAAATTATATATAGAAAAATATGAAGGGTGGAAATTGGAAGGCTTCCAGATAAATTATATATTTATATATCAATAAATAAAATAAAGCTTTGCCATTTATACTTAAAATATAGTTTTCGCATGGGAAATTGTTTATTTTCTTTTGTCCATGTATCGATTGTCATGATGCATGAATGATTGGTCCCTATGATTTCTCTCTTGCTTCTGTTATTTCATTTGTTTTTAATACATGAAGTTGATTAAACTGAAGTTAAAATTAATAGAGATAAATAATGATAGTGAAATTAGGTTTATTAATATTAAATGAGGATAAAATTGCTTAAACTGAATGTAGATTTGCTTCAGCTCTTGCTTGATTCCTCTTTAGTCATGGTATTTATGGTATTCTTGATCACTGTCCCTGAATTCTCCATGTATTTTTAATGGTTTTGTGTCATCCTAATAAATTTTCAATTAAAAAATAAATTTAATAATATCTATGCTATATAAAACAGTTTCTTTGAAAGAATAATTTACAAAACAACTATTAATCGAGTAATTAATTCCTTAAGATCCGATAAAGCTCAAGAAACTGCTGGCATAAAGAGGACACATAAAAAACCGGTTCTCACTAACCAAAAGTGACATAAAATATTTTGAGTATATAACAATAATAATAATAATTTATAATATCATATATGCTTTTTAATTTTTAACAGTTAAAATAACATAATTGTAACTGAAAAACAAAAACCCAGGCATCAATAGCTCTTTAAAGTGAAATGGAGCCAAATGAGTGTGGACCTCACCTTTGCCCTCAATGAGCCACAACTTGACCCTGGAAGTCCAGGTCTTCCCGGCCCTATTAAGGACTAATAGGGATCCTCTACTAATAAGCAAAAGCAACTAGGTTTGGAAATTTTAGAATATGGTCATACCAAAACAGAAGCTACCTATTGGTTTACCTGTTCAAGCAATAATATATATGACGAAATCACACATGTCATAATATTTCTTATAAGTCTTGGTACCCAAATTCAATTCAACCACCATAATTGTTGAAAAAGGAATAATCCAATATCAATTTTTTACATGAATATCATATACTTTCATTATCATTGCATTTTGTACAAAGTGCTAACACAAAATCAATGATCTCAAAATTTTATGTACATAATCAAAGCAAGTAATAAACTATGTTAATAAACAACCGCGCGAGTCGACATAATAAATTTAAAATATTATACAACTATTTGACACAAATGTTTATTAGCTAGCTAAGCATACATATTGGATTTTGTTCAGGCTTCTGCAGTGTTTGTCTCCTTAATTCCTTTCACCTTTCAAAAATCATTTATGATTCCCATTGAATCCCACAAAAGTTGCAGTTTCTTTGCACTTCTAAACTGCAATACTGACTTCACCATCTTCAACATGGGTGAAGATCACACGTTCAAACTTTAGACCCATCTTCGAAATTTCGAAAATTCTAATGGGAATATCCTAGAGAAACATTTGAAAGAGTTGGGTGCGTGCGAAAACTTCTTTGTGAGGAAGATTTGGATTTTGAGATTGAGTAATTGGCTTTTGAAGAAGCAAGAGCTGCATTAGCCTTGATGGCAAACCCGCACAAGTCCTGCAGAGAAAGTGACAATCGGGATTTGCAAAGTGGCATAATGAAGTATATATGACCCAATTGAAGCTCGTCATTTGGAGGGATAGGAAGCATTGGTGAGCCAACATACATGGATTCTGAGCAACAGATGAAGCAGTTTGGGTTCTGAGAAAGAACATGCCATGCTTTTATTGGCTTCTTCAATTGTTGCAAATTTCCATCTAACTTAACTATGCTCACCGTGGATTGCCAACTTTGGTTACCACTTTTGTTTGTATATTGAGCAGATGATGCACAAGTTCCCATATGCTTCTTAGTTTGTTTCTGAAGTATGAAATAAAGAAATTAGTTCTCGGGTGTGATGCTATTTATAGGAGGCAAAGAAGAAAAAGAGAACGAGTAAAGTATAAATAAATGAAGAAGACGTTATTGTTGATTTCATATTTATGCGACAAATTCATGCAAAGCACGGAAGGTGATTGGAAGGTTCTTAATATTCATTTTTGGACATTCTTCTTCGTAGTTTCTTCCCTAAGAATGGAAACAAACGCAACCTACAGTTGTTATGTCGTGCATTTCTCGACACGGTTTTGGTCCCGTTTTCCAGATGGCATACAGAGAATTCATGGTTTTTCAATTAGTAACATGCTAAACTAATAAAGAAAAAAATCAATATCAATCCCTTCTTCTCTCTTGTTCAAACAATGATAGGTATAATAAAGAACATCAGATTATATATGTCAATGAAATATTTTCTTGTAACTTATCGTTGTAGACAAGTGGTTTAGGTTAAAACTGTAGTACTTATGATATTTAATTAATAATAAAATGTCATAAGCATAAATCCAACCCTAAAACAACTTGTTGATGTTATTCTATTCTATTAATTAAACTTAATGAAGATTTGTCTTGTAGTTGTACTTGTGTTCACAAGCTGACGCGTATATTATTATCAGTATTGCATATATTATTTTATCTATGCATTTAACTTAGTTGATATGGAAAATTGTCTTATTGAAAATTCATCACAAAAAAAGAAGAAGAATGAGAACAGAGAAGAGACTAGAAAGTCATGAAAATGCTTATCGTTTTCAGTAACAATAAAGTGATGGAGCACATCACGATATGGCCCCAAAAATAGCAGTACAATCATAATGTGAAGGGTCCATAAGGAAACATCCTTGAATTTTCTCAATGCTAACCTATTTTTTGTTTTCACATTACTTTTTGTTCGTGGATTTTAGCCCCTTCGCCTGAAATTTTCTATTTCACGTTTTTATGTTTCCATTTTATGTAGGACATTCCTTTATTATTTTCTTGAGCTATGTTTCCAAAAAGATTAAATGTACTTTTAAATGTTTATATTTATTCAGGGAAGGGAAAAAATGATTCAATTTAGTCAAAGTGTTTTTTCCAAAAACGATTGGTATAAAATGTTAGAGAATCTTATTTTCTTCTAATAAATATATTTGTGGTTAAGTTATTAAAAAATGACAAATATGAAAGTATGGTTCGTTAGTAAAATCTATGAAAAATATCAATTAATTTGCAGGCGATGTGAAACATAGGAATTTGTGCTAATCCAAAACATAATCAAAGAAAAGGACAGTATTTCCACGTAGAAAAACTTTTTACAAAAATAGAATATAAAAAATTAGATTTTATAATTTATATGGAACATATTCTATAAAATATAAATGAAAATCATTATTATTACAGTTATATTTTATATAAATTTATTAGTGATATAAAAATAGTAGAATTTATATTAATATAAATTGATTCCTCCTCTACAAACATTTTGTGAAGAATTTGAGAGTAATTATATTTTTGGTCGAAGAGGTAAAGAAAAACATCAAAAGAGCAATTAATTCAACCGGACCTCCCAATCCTTAGCCCAGAAAAAAGCCCAAATAATTTATATCCAAAAAATGCAACATCATTCGAATTGGACCCTCTGATCTGGGTGACTCTAATAAAAAAATAAACACTTATAACTAATAATCAAAAGACACCTTTTCATTTCTTATGAACTTAATTGTATTTTTTTAGTCTTCCTAGTTTAATACTACATGAGTAATATTTTGTATCCCAATTTTAAGTATTTATATATTTTTAAAACAAATTAAATTTCTCATATCAAAAGTTTTTTTAATAATCATAAAAAATACAATAAAAGTAAAAAAAAGTATAAAATATAATGAATTATTTTAATTTAAATGTTTAAATATTTTCTTTTATAAATTTATATAAAGTAACAATATATTACACTTTTATAAATTTATTTATATCACATAATATATCGAACTCGAGAAAACAAATTAATCCAGAACAATTCCTACTACTTCATCTACGATACTCGGTAATTACGATTTATAAATTTAGTGAATTGAAACTTGACGAACATAGCTTTCACAGAGTAAAATATTATTTTAATTTCTAAAAACTTCAAACTAATCACATCAACATTTAAGCATTAAAATAACGTTTTCTTGATTAAACGAAAAACTTGACGAGTTTAATAATTTTCAAGTGAATTTAACTGAAATTGAATAATTGTTCAAATCATGGAACTATAAACTGAAACTGATGACATTTGACAAGATAGTTTAAACAGCATTTAATTAACGTTAACAACAGCAAAGTACAAATCCTTAAACTGATAGATTCTGTCCCCTCAAGCTTAAGCCCGTGACATGAACGAGCCCACAATGCCTGCAATGAGAGCCGTTGGATCACCCAACACTGCTGATATCACAATCTGCAAAGCAAACCCTGCAATCTCACAGCACTTCTTCATCTTCCCTTTACTTCTTCTGCTGTTATGAGCACTGTAAAGAGTGTTCTTCAGCCTAGGAATGTTACTCTCCACTTTGCTGCATCCCACGTACACTTCATGCCAATTCTCCACCAGCAACTCTCTCACACATGCAACATGGAGATTGTAACTCTTGCACTTGGACCTGTAACTCCAGCTACGCCCTTTTCTCCCACAACGGTGACATGCAGAACTAACTTTGCTATATAAGAAGAGTTTCACTTCGCCATCATCAAGCACCATTGGAAGCTTGGCACAACATGGGTGGAGATCGAACCCGCATGATTTGCAGTGATACACGAACCCACTCACGTCCTTCTCACACGCGTTGCAATAACGTGGTGTGTCACCTGGTGGTGCTGACATGAACTGGAAGGTGCACTTGGTGTAGAATGGATGGAACAACGTGGGTGATGTTATCATGGCACAGTGCATGTGAAGGTCATAGTCACAAATGGAGCATTTGTAACGTGATCCTATGCCAATTTCCTTGCAGCCATCGCATTTGAAGGGGAATTCGGAGTACTCAAATCTTAGCTTGTGTTGTGGGTGGCTGAAATGGGATATTTCACTGTACTTCATGATGGTGTATGAGTGTTAATTTGATATGTGGCATGCGTTAAACGGTGATTGTATTTATATGTGAAGGGAATGTGATGTGGATTTTGTGTTGGTTGGTGATGGGTAATTAGAGTGATTTGAGAGAGTAGAAAGATGTCATTTGATTTTTGGGTTTGATTTGGCTTATGGTGGAAGCAATTGAAAAGGAATTAATGCCTCCTCTTGGGATGGTTGTGATGGTGGTAAATAGAGACTTCATATGAGAATCCCCACGTCAACGGGAAGGAAAAGAGCCAGACATAAGGCATATTGGGTCATGCCCCACCTGAGAATTTATACCTTTTTATTATTATTAATTATTTTATTTACTTTAGGTGATGTTCTAGCATGTTAGACTGATGAATGCATGCTGCACCAGTTTTCAATCTGTGCATATAATTGAGAGTTGGTCTATGCTTTATTGGTTATCATGTTATGCAGATCATGTAGTCTTGAATATATATCAAGTAGATATTGCAAGAAAGTAATGAAGGGATGAGGGAAGATAATAATGCAATATAGGAATTTTCCATTACAGAATAAGAATTTAGCATCTATCGAGTTTAATGTCAGAATGATATGGTACAGATAAGTTGGGCATTTTATTCTGAGTAATTGACACAAGTGTGTTTTCAAATTAGGCAAAGAATGAAGGACTATGGATATGTATGTCTAATTGGATATGTTTAATTTAGTTGAAAGCTAAGGATGATAGAGAATCACGGACACGCAATCTCCCTCCGTGATTGAAGTTTTGAAACCAAAAACAAAAGAACTAGGGAATAAATTCCTTTTCGTAATTAGTTATTTTGTACCTTCTAAAGCTCTAATCTTTATGTCCATTTGGTTCTAGAAAAGAAACTATACCTGATTTAAGGCCCTATCCATTTTGTATCTTAATGACCCATGATATAAGTCTGATCGAGGAACTGATTCTCAAGAGTTTATGGGATTTTTTTTTAGAATGTGTCTAATTAAGCATTTCAATAATCTTATTTTTAAGTAAATTAATAAACTTTTATTATAAATCGTAGTATAATATCATAACTTTATTAATTTATTTAAAATAAAATTTTAAAATCATTTAAACAAAACCATTATTTGCAAAGCATTACCAACTCAATTCATGAGGGCATTAAAGGAAGATGCATAGTGAGTGATGGATGTTTCACAGAGGCCGAGATAAATGGTTGTGGAGAACCTATCCTATATACCCTTTCCCAATTGTATTGCTTCTTTGAGGAACAAATGCCAGAAGAATTGAACAACCACATTGAAACAATAATGACCAGATACCACTTTGATCCTTTTTCTATCCTTTATTTTTTTGACCATTTTTCTTTTTGTTTCTTTTTACCACAGAAACAAACATGAGGAACCTTATAGTAAAGGGAAAGTTTAATGTGTTTCTCTTTTCTGGTCTCGTCATTTATTCTGATCTCTGTTTTGTCCTTGGCAACAATGGAAACAATTCCTTCCAAGTTCCATCTATGCCTTTCAATAAACCATCTTCGGCAGCTGCACTGACGCTGATTCTTTCAGAGTTGTATGCATGATTACCCTCCATAACATAAGAGGAGAAAAATTCTTTAGCCTAAGCAATTTAAGGTATAAAAATAGTGTTGTTTAGTGAATGAATAGTATTGAATAGAAATGGAACCGTATCAAACCAAAATGAGAGACATATTGGAATTATATTAAGTTGAGGAATTATATTCACATTGGACCGTAACAGATTCACAAACTAGTTAGTGATTACTTTAAAATAAAACAAAAGAGTCAATCGCTACAGCAAAGAAAAGTCTTTCATTTTGCCATGGAAAACGACATAGCTTAGTTATTGATGTTTTCTTTTCTTTCCCTCTGTTGCTTTTGGTATCTTGCTGTTTTTCTTACTCAATCTTTCGCCATTCAATTATTAATTTAATCTTAGGCAAACACTATTTGAAAAAATTGCCTAAGATTAAATTAATATTTCACGTTACTCCCTAACAGAAAGAAAACACTTACATTTAAAATAATTTATTTTAGTAAATTTTTATAGTAAACCAAAGACAAAGAAGTGGTAACATAACATGCTATGAATGGCGATTCAACTCCTCAAACGCTTACACGAACCTCTGATTCTGTGGCCGAAACCTCTGCCACTCATCTCTTACTTTTGTTCAAACGAAAGCTCTGAAAGTGGAATTGTAAGAAGCGTGGTTTCAATCCTCACCCATCAACGTTCAAAGTCTCGTTGGAGCACTCTCCGATCGGCGTGCCCCAACGGCATCGACCCTTTTGAGTTTTCCCAAATTAGCATCAACCTCAAGAACAAACCCCAACTCGCTCTTCGCTTCTTCCACTGGACCAAATCCAATTCCCTCTGCCATCACAACCTCTCCTCTTACTCCACCATCATCCACATCCTCGCACGTGCCCGCCTCAGTTCACACGCTTACGATGTCATCCGAACTGCCATTCGGGCTTCTCAGCTAAACGAGGATGAAGGTTGTCGTTTTGACTCGTCCCCTTTGAAGCTCTTCGAGACCCTTGTTAAGAGTTACCGAGATTCTGGGTCTGCTCCCTTTGTGTTTGATTTGTTAATTAAAGCGTGTTTGGATTCTAAAAAGGTTGACCCTTCTATTGAAATAGTTAGAATGCTGCTCTCTCGCGGGATTAGCCCTAAAGTTAGCACCTTGAATTGTTTGATTCCTAGGGTTTGTCAAAGCCGAGGGGTGGATGCAGGTTATGCAATTTACCGTGAGTTATTCCGGTTAGATGAAGAAAAAAAGGAAATTTCGAAAAGGAGTTTTGATTTTAGAGTTACCCCTAATGTGCATACGTATAATGAATTGATGTTGTGTTGTTATCAAGATGGTTGGATGGAAAAGGTAGAGGAAATTTGGAATGAAATGGGTGAAATGAGGTGTAAACCAAATGCTTACAGCTATAGTGTGTTGATGGCTGCTTTTTGCGAGGAAGGGAGGTTGGGAGATGCTGACAAGTTGTGGGAAGAGATGAGAAATGAGGAAATGGAGCCTGATGTGGTTTGTTATAACACTATGATTGGCGGGTTTTGCAACATTGGAGATGTTGGAAGGGCTGAAGAATTTTTCAAGGAAATGGCATTGGCTGGTGTTGAAAGCACTGCTGCAACTTATGAGCATCTTGTCAAGGGGTATTGCAATGCTGGTGATGTTGATTCTGCTGTTCTTGTTTACAAGGATATGTCTAGGAGGGATTTCAGACCTGATGCTTCAACCCTTGATGTGATGATTAGGTTGCTTTGTGATAAGGGTAGAGTTCAGGAAGCACTGGAATTTTTTAGGTGTGCAGCTGGTAAGTTTGACTTGTTTCCAAGGGAAAAGAGTTATGAGGCCTTGATAAAGGGGTTATGTTTGGAAGGGAGGATGGAAGAAGCGTTGAAGATTCAGGCAGAAATGGTTGGAAAGGGGTTTCATCTGAATTCTGAAATATATGGTGCTTTTATTGATGGATACATTACACAAGGGAACGAGGAACTGGCAGTAGCTTTGAGGAAAGAAATGCTCCAAACTCAAATGCCGAGCTAAAAGAATAATAGCTTGTTGTTTCCCAAAATTGTATCCTGATATATTTTTTTGTCTTCAGACGCTCACAGTAGCGGTTATCTCCTGAGAATAAACTTGAGATAGATGGCATTATATCACAAAGAAACAAAGCTGCCGATTGAGCACAGGTCTAGCACATTTTTATGAAATTCTGTTCTGATGTTGATGAAGTTAACGCCAGTTGCTTGTATGATATTCCCACAGTATATTTGGATGTCCAAAGCAAGCCTTTTTGAGGTTATCTCTGGAATTTAATTTGTTGTGCAGCAGCAGAAATGACAATTAATTAATGTACACTTGCTTGATATGAGCCATTTAGTAAGTGTCGGGAACACTTCAAATTTATATGCTCGATTTGGGAGGTTTTTGTGGTGCCTTTTTTTAAAATAAATAGAATAAGAAGAAAGCCCCTTTTGCTATCTGGTGCCGGGTTCATGATCTAACTGTAATTCTGAAGTACAAGTGTTTATTTTGTAAGTTGATTTTGTGTTTAGCTGTGACTTCTCCCCAAAATGGGCACTAGAGGACTTGGTGGCTAGAAGTAAATGATGGTGAAATACATGTTTAGTATGTACAATTTATGTTACATTTATGTAGTTGCTGACTTGTCTGCTTTGAAGCTGAGTATACATTCATTGGACTCGAGATGTCCTATGCTCCTATGTACAACTTAACATTGAGCTTCTCTATCCTTTAAATGTTTACAAATACAAATTATACGAGTGTTTATGACTACATATCATTTAAAATCCTGTCCCTTCGTATTTCTCATGCTATAATTCAAGGAAAAAACTACAAATAAATAATGATTAATTTAATATTTTTACAGGGGAATTAAAATGAGAATCACAAAGAGGGTAATAGCCAAAGGTTAAGAAGAGAGGATGCCAAAGATAGAAACCATGACAAAAAGGCCATAATTGCTGATATCCTGTACCTGCCACAAAGCTTTGGAGGGCAAAAGGACTCCTGCACGTTGAGCAGGAGATCTACAACACTAGCTGTTGAGCAAGCTGCTGCTAGTGTGAGGGTTGATAACACCTGTAGCAAATAAATTGGAGTTACTAACACACGTTTGCCAGTATCTATCTATATGATATCACTTGTTGATCAGAACTACATACCCAATCTCCCACAACAATAATCAGCAGTATTCCAGGTTGACGAATGGGGCATTTGACCATAACAGAATATCCATCCACTAGTGCTAATGTGAAACTCCATGGTATGACCAGACCCATAATTGTCACCAAATAGCTTGGACATGGATAGTGAACACAAAATAAGCCAGTTAATTAACAGAAAAATCAACAAATTCACTTGAGCAATTGATGTCTGTTCAACTACTAACATTCATGTGATGCAAAATTAACAGAAGCAGAAATGAAAGCATATTAACGAGTAAAAGAGAAGATTAGTAATACAAGATTCAACTGTGCTCTTCACCTGAGCGCGGCTTTGTTGTGTAAATTTCAAAAGATGTGCTTCATAATTATTTATACAAATTAATTTTTTGTTTTATAGTAGTGTTACAAACCTGCTGTAAAGAACTAATGACAACGACTTTCTGGCTGACTTAATCATCTAGTACTCTATAGTAGAAAATTTGTAATGATTTCACTCAGTTATATTGAGTTCTATATATTCCTGTCACTTGTCACAAGTTGAATCGGCCAAGATCATTCTGATGTCAATTAATTATCACTCGGTGCAAAACAATAGCAGAGGGTGGAGGAAAGTTAAAGGTAAAATAACTGAATCAATTTTCTCCTCCAATCTGTAGAGAAAAATTACCTCACTACGATTAAGCAACCTGACTTGAATAAGTAGAATAGTATGTAAAACATCTACAAGTATCATTCTTGACATAAAATTAATTAGTCGTTTTATAATTCTAGAGAATAAGCAGCTTAATGAGCTAAATGAAGTCAATGCTAGCTTTGAGTGACTAATACATATGAAAGAAAAGGATGCATTAGAGAACCTATAACACTGCAGAATCATAGGGAGAAGGGGTGAAGCCAGAAAAACGAGAGCAACATAATGGCAAACATCAACTATACTTCGAGATAATTAGAATAACAAAGAGGGGGACCACACAAAGAGAAAGTACCAGAAAGCCGTGTAGCTGTAGAATTCAACCCCCAAAGACATAAAGAGAAGTGAAGCAGAAGAGAACATGGTCTGGCCCAATCTCAGACTCAAGCTGGCACTGGTACCCACGGAGCCAGGTAATTCATCCATCAACCTATTGCATAGAATGTACTGTTAACTGTACTAATTCTATTTCTGGATTTTCCTCTTTCCTTGTGATATGTTGATATCATAGTTGTCCTTCAAGACTCAACCAAACTCCCTCACCATCCAATCTTATCATCAAATTTTACTTCTTTCAGCTGAAACCATTTGGCAGAGCAAAAACATAAGATCTTTGTACCTCTTTTCAACCTTGTGCCAAATATGAAGCAAGCCAAGGAAGAGAGGGAAGAAATTCCAATTTGTAAGGACATCGGTTGCACTCTATGACAATGAAGACATCATCAATCTTCCAAATAGAAACTTCATGATAGAATTCATGTTTTTGTTAGGTGAAAGTTTGGACTTTGTGCAAAGGCTTTTGCCCTCTGCTGATTGAACAATAATTTGGTTGCTTTAATTACGATGATGGTATTGACACGTGGGCTACTGGGTTTTTCGGTGGCATATCCTCGGTGCCGCTAAATATATGAGATTTCTTTGACACGACTTTAGGTAGAAACAATGGGGTGAGTCTTACTCCTAAATATTTTGAGATCAGATATATTCACCCAGATTTGATCCCTTTACTTATTTATCTTTATATTCGATGTTTTTCTTGTAATTTTTTATATGGTTTTGAATGGTCGTTACCCTTCTTACTTGTTAGGGACAAGACAGGATAAGCATCTTTGTCCAAAATGAATTTATGAATCGAATGACCAGCGGCAAATTGTATACCAGTGGTTTCTAAAGATGTAACTCAGATTCGCCATTTGTCACACCCTTATTGACCCCATTTTCATTGGAAAATGATGTGATCAACAAGTGGTAGTGGAGAACTAGAATGATGACGGCAGTGTTAACCCGTCACTTCTGACTGAAAGGCCAAAATACATACATTGCGCAAGACAAAAGGCTTCAACAACTCTCTGTTCTGTACTTCAGTGCTCAACGCAGTGTTGGAGTCTCTGCTTCCGTTGTGAAAATCGGACTCTTATGTTGCAAGAATTCTGGCACTTAATAATTATTGATTCAAAAAAATCACGAATAAGACTTGTTAATAGTAGTATAATATTTTTAATAAATTTTTACAAATAATAAAAAAACACATTTCTCTCCTGGACAATCCATTCTTATGAAAACCAGATTAACTGTTTACACCGGTTCAACCATGACTTAGACTGCCTAGCCGGTTTGATTATATCGCTAAAACGCCTTAATAATGTGAAAAATACGATAAGCTTATGGCCCAAAAAAATTCTAATTCGCCACAACGTTTTCTTTTTCATTTCTTTTTGTCTTGCACAGAAGAATCCCCCGTTCCATAAAAAGAAGAAAAAATGTCAAGATCTATCCCTTTTCCGGGACAGATTATAGCTCGTGCAAAACGAAGCCAAACATTGTTAAACCAAAAATCATTAACAAAATTTTAAAATAAAATCTTCGTCGGCTTGTTACTGTAGATCAAGATACAATAAAAATTGTTTTCCAATAGCCTCTACTCGCCATATAATTGATATTCCAAATGTAACGGGAATATGAAAAATAAATTTATCATGGCCTCTCAAACTCGAGGGTTACATGAAAAACATCATGACAAGATATTCCTGAACACCTCCTCAAGACCCACTGCAAAAATTTTTTAAAAAATGTAAGAATATAAATCATTATCACCCGGAGGGAAGAACCAATGATGCTTTAGATGCCTAGTAATAGACAGTCACAAATGATAAAATTTATCTGCCGACTTAAATTAACAAAATCAAATAAAACAAAGAACAGCTAAAAGCTTATACACCATTACATGCCTAGTAATGGAAGGTAAAAAAAACATTATTTCTTTTTTGTTTGTAACGAGACAGAAATCATTGTATAAACACCATAAACAATGAACAAACAAATTAAAAAGCTATAGAAATTTCAGGTAAAAAGTCACAATTAAAAGTGGGGACAAAATTGGGTGCCGAACACTATACGATTGAGAGTTAGACAACAAATACCCTAAGGCTTTATTTGGGAATTTAGAGGGAAAGGGAAGGAAGGGGTTTGAAGGGTATAAGGAATGTTATCACTGGCAGATGACAGGTAGGTATATATATAAAATGTAAAATGTGATACAAAATTAACTACATATGAAAGAAACAAGGTTTTGAGAAAAATATAATAAAATGGTTGTAGAATAGAGAAAAAAAGCTGAAGTTATAACAGAAAAACAGAATATAAAAAAATGGAGAAGGTAACTTGGAAGTGAAAACAGGAAAATGGAATCAAGAAAACAGAATAATAAGGAAAAATCAAACCAAAAAAATGGGGGGAGTAAAACAGAATCGGAGGGGGAAAATCAGAATTGAAAAAAATAGAATAGGAGAGGGGAAAACTAATAAAAGAGGGAAACTGAAGATGCAAACTGAGTGAGAAACAGACCACTGTTTGAAAAATAAAAATAGAGTATCAGAAGAAGCAAAATAGACGCAAAGAGAGTGACAAATAGAGCACTGTATGGAGCAGAAAAACAGAGCATAGAGAAGCAAAATGGAAAATAGATACTGAAAAACAGTCACAGTTGCCAGAAAAAAGACAGAAAGGGCGTCTTCTCCAGCCAAAATGCTGAAGGAGGAGATGAAGGATAAGTTGGCTTTAGAGAAGGAAGAGAGAACATGTGTAATTACTGTTTGCTCAACAAGAGAAGGAAAAAATTTTAAGTGAGACAAAAAGTCCATTTTTCCCATAAAAAAGGGCTAAATGACACTGGCAGGAGCAAAATTGGACTTTCGCTCCTTTTCTCCATCATGCTTCAAAAATGCACACCCACACCGAGAACTTATTAGGGCTCAAACTCTGCAACTGCAGAAACACTTCACAACAACAAATATCCCGCCGCTGACAGCCACTCCACGGTGGCGTAATGGTGACACTATCAAAAAGTATGGTTTTGGGTTCTAGGGTCACTTTCAACGAGGTCGGACCAGAGGTCCATTTCATTTTTTTCCTTAAAACTAACATTTTCCACCATGGCCAATAGGAGCATAACAGCCGCCATGGTGCTGCCATCCACAACCATTAAAAACTGCCATGCTAGTGGGGGTTTGGGGAAAAAATGCCACCATTAGGCACCATTGCCATAACCGCCATTTGATAACACTAGGTATAAGGAAGAAGAGGAGAAGAGAGGATGAAGGAAAGTTAATAAAAAATCCTTCAAATTGGGAAAACTAAAAAACATGTGTTTAGGAGGGTTTTGCAAGGTTTATAAACCCTCTCCCTTTCATCTAAAAGACAGATACCACCAACCTTATATCTCCCAATATATCCAATGACATCTCCCTCTGTTATGTACTGAGTAAAACGCAACCACTTACAACTTAGGTTTGGAAAAGTTAATTATGAAAGCCATATTAGTGACCCAATGCTTAACAGCCATATAAACCCAATCTAGAAAGGGTGTTCTTGTTCCTTACTGCACCTCTAAATTCAATCTGTAGTTTTCGGCTTTCAGTTTTCTTGCGGGATGAAAAACACAGGGCTGTACAGTGAAGAGAGATTAACTACACTCTGTGCCCAAAATTCAATTCATCATAAGTTCCAATCAAAAATCAATCAATTGTCAATAACCAAATATTATTTCATCATTCTAAACTCAAATTTTCAGTTGGATCTCAACCATGCACGCCATTAGATTGATGAAGCACATACAACAAATGCAGGCATAGTAACTTACATGGAGAAATAAATGCCAATCACATGCCGTTTAATAGTTTAAAATTCATGTCACTATCACCTATGAAGTGTTAGCACGTGAGGGACAAGTACAATTGACATGAATGCAAATCAGCTTAAGTATGTAACATGTTTTGAACTCTGACATACTGAAAAAAATACTAGAACTAGCACAATGCTGTCTCCTACAGATTCCTAGGTCCGTTTACAGACTGTAATACACAACACATATTACCCGCCTGTGGAGGTATACTCTTCACTTAGGCTACATTGGATACCAGTATTTTAAGGGGAAAAATGTTATGAAATTCTCATGAGCATTCAGCAGCTCAGTATTAGGAAAACAAAAGGGTTTTGAACTCAAACCTACAAGAATTTGATCCAATACTAAAAATAATGCGCTGCTAGCATTCCTATATTTCAAAACTAACCTTAATTACAACTTATAATTTAGTACACAAAATAAGACAATCGCTTGCAGACCTTATTCATGTAATAATTCAACCTAAACCAGCAACAATCTGGCCCTTGCATAGATACCCAAGGGATCTTAAACACAAATAGAATTCCGAATATTGGTGTAAAAATGGATCATAAATATTTAAAATAAAAGAATATAGGTGGTGGATTACCAAAAGAGGAAGAGGGAGAAGCTAAAGTTGGAGCTTAAGTTCCTCTTTCTCAGCGGTGAGGAAGTGAAGAACGTAAGGGGTGACTCGAATAACAACAACCCATGCCCCGAACATGGCGACATGAGACTTGAGCTGCTTAAGTGCTGCAGCTTTATCTGGCTTCCGCATGAACATTCCTGGAAACATGGTTTCTTCTCTGATCTTAACCCTCTCCTTTTTCTCTACTCTTCTATTAGGGTTTTTCTTTCTCGTCAACTGCTACTCATTGATCTGAATTTTGTTTTGTACCAAACTCTTCTGTTTTTTGCTATTTTTTGGTTCAAATCATATTCACGGCCCATGTATTATAAGGGTATGCGGTGCCCAATAATTAGCCCACAGGCCCACTTAACTGTGTTTTTTTTATCCACCATGGAGCTTATCCAAATTGCAAATGTCATATCCTTCACTCATTTGCCAAATATGGGTTAGACACAGGGTTTATGGATTAGATTTTTAAAAAATTAATCTAGATTCATTTAAAATTTAATTATATGGATTAGATTATAAATTAATTTATTTTAATTTTTTTAAAATTGATTTAAATTTAATTTTAAAATTTAAATTTAGTTTAAAACCAATTTTAAAACTATTTTTATATATGGTAAAAAGATACTATAATTTTTTTAAATTATTATGAAATTATTATATCAAAAAATATTTAAATTTTATAATAAATAATATAACATTATATATATATATATATATATTTATTAAGCATCAATATTTATTAAAGATAAAATATGAATACAAAAGTACTCTAGTCTATTATATTAACAATACATATTCAAAGAATATTTACGTATATTTTAATTTATTAAAAATATTTTTTATTTTTATATTTTATTAAAGTAATAAATATTTAGATATATTCTACTTTTTATCATTTATTCATCACACAAATTAATTATGAGTTAAATTTTAAACTATTTTATTTATTTTTTTAATCAGTTCAAAAATAATTTTAAAATTTAAATTTAGTTTAAAATCGATTTTAAATTTAGTTTTACGTTGAATTAGTTTAAAACTTAATTTTAAATCTAATTTTTAATGTAAAATTGATCTTTAATATATTTTTGAATTATATTTTTAAGAGAAAATTAATTTATTATAAAAAATATTGCATTAAATTAGTGCATTTCATAAATATTTTAACAATATTTATTAATATATTATATTTAATATAAATATATAAAATATTTATTATTATTTTTAACTTATTTTTAATAAAAATATTTTATAGTAAAAATTTAAATTAAAATCTATAAAAATAAAATTAATAATATAAATAATAATAAATTTTTTGTTATAATATTTTAAAAATTAAAAAAAACGTAAATATAAAAATAACAGTGGTAATTAATTTAAAAATATTTGTTATATTTTAATATATTTAATTATTTTAAATATTTAATTTTAATTATAAGAATTAAGATTAATAAAAAAATATTAGTGGTAAAATATAGTTACAATAAAATTTTGTAAACTAATATAATGTTAAAATTTAATAAATAAAGATATAAGGTTGCTTTATAAATATAGATTTAGATAACTAAAAAAAAAATTAATTTTAAAAAATAGATTTAGACACTAAACTAGTTATATAAATATAGTTAATAAAAAAATCGGTTTAATATGGATCTAGATTTTTAAAATCAATTTAACATTGGTTATGGATTAAGTTTATAAAATTAAATTTTTTGAACATTCCTCAGACATTAACTCTTTTACCTAAGAAATCAAATATTAAATTATTATTATTATATACAAAATATATGTACTTGTATCATTCAAATATCATTCAATTAGAAACACAAATCATATGATAACAAAATCAATGAATTAAGATCCCATTTAATAAAAAAAAATATGATAGAGGATGAAAGTTATATAAAATAAGATAAGAGGAAAACAAGCTTTTGTTTTATTTTATGTTTAATGTATATGAAAATAATAAATTGGCCATAATATGTTATTAAAAAAAACTTTACTTTCTAAACGCGAATTATTTAATAAACATTGTTGAATAACTCTTAGTTTGTTTGGCATTTATTTTGTTGAATATATGTATTTTATTACATAATATTAAATATATATATATATATATATATATATATATATATTTCTGTTATTATTGATTATTAAATCAGTAAATTATGCATTAATAATTTATTAAAATAATATGCATAGATTTAATGACTTTTTTATAGTAAAATTATATATATAAAAAAAAAAAACACTCAAATAGACCCTATTGTAATTTAATTACTAGAATAGACCTAAATTTTTAGTTATCCAAAATTCAGTTCTCTAGGAACTAAATTATGAGTTAATTATATATATATATATATATATATATATATATATATATATATATATAATAAAATAAATATTATTATTTAAATTATATTTTTATATTTTTATTTTCTTAAAATGAATATTTATATTATGTTATTCTAATAAATATTTTGTTAGTTATATATAATAAAATAAGTTTTATTATTTGAATTATGTTTATATTTTTATATTATTTTAAAATAAATAAAAATAATAATAATATTAATTTTAAATATTTATTAAAATTTATTTGACATATTTAAGATAATAAATAATATTTTTAGAAAAAAATAATAATTAAATTTTTAAAAACTAGTTAAAATAATTAAATAATAAGTAAATTATTTTAGTTAATTTTTAAAAACTACTTAAAATATTTAAATAATAAGTATATTATTTTAGATAATAATTTAATGCTTAAATTATTTATACTTAAAGAATACTAAATATATTTTTTAAAATTAAAAAATATATTAAATATTATTCTATTTATTTATTTAAATATTTAATTATGACTTAATATTTTTAAATATTAGTATGATAAAATGATATTTTGAATAAAATTTTATTTTAATTAAATTATATTTTTAAAAATGTCATTATTTAATATTATAATTTTTAATATCCTAAACTCTAAAACGTTACTATTATAATTTTGAATAAATTTTATTTCAAAATAAAAAATTTATTTTTAAAAATTAAATAAAATATTAAATTATAAGTTAATTATTTATAGTTGAGACAAATATTTTAAAATTAACATTTTCATATTATTAAGGTAACATTGATGAAGATAAAGTGCGTTAATAAATATGATAACAAATTCATAACAACATTAATAATTAATTATCTTCGTAATGGTGGCCATTTCCACAACGAGAGCGACATTTGTGACGTGGTGGGTTTCGTTGTTGTGGTTGTTGCTCTGAGATTTCAGGATGAACTTATGGAGGATTTGAATCATCATGAAGGTCTAATTGTTGAAATACATTTGATGAATTACCAGGTTCATTAGCAAAATTTGGTTGGTAAAGAGACTGCATGTAAGTTTGTGCTGAAGATGGAGTTGTAAAATCAACTCCAAATAAGTTAGTAAAAAAATTCTTCGATGTTGTTGCAAACGAATGTCTTGTGTTAATTATGTTTGCTTCTGGCGTAATGTTCAGAAAAATTGATGCAGTCTTGTGATACGATGGTATGGAAGTCGTACCCATTTCAAATGTATTGGTAGTCTTTAGTTGTTGTTCGCTCCTCCTTGGATCTTGTAGTAGTGGTGACATAGATAGGAAATAGATAGAATTGACAATGTACTATTCCGTGTATTCTTTTGTGTGATACAATAGGCCTTGCATTGGATGACCCGTTATTATTAGCTCACGTCTGTTGTTCCATATCTCAATCCATTGAGCAGGTCTTGTAACCTAATTTTCATCCTGTCTTTCTCTCATGTCAATTTTGTGGAGTTCATTCAAATTATTCGGTGGAGAAGAGACTTCTTGAATTAGACGAAACTGTAATTTGACTCTATTTGTTTGGTGTCAGTCAACAATTGCAAAACAAAGGATAATGGTACATGAAGTCTACAGTTGGACATCTCTATATGCTTCCATGGGTATTGATGTTTGCAAGTCTTAATATGGCGCCTATAAAAACTACAAATATATTTAACTTTGTTACTTAAGATGATGTGTAAAAGATAAGAAAATAAATATGAAGAGTTATTTGATTAGCTTGAATGTGATCAAATATTGATCTATACCCCATAACATCATTGTGAGGTTTATTTCGAAAGTTTAGTACTTTACTCCCGCTCCATCTGCACACGAGAAAGTATGTTAGTAGATTACTAGAAATTGGCGCAATATATAGCATACGATACCATGCCCAGGACATTAATAGTGATGAGCAACCACCCATTGTTTTGCTACCAACTTTTGTGGCTCTACATATTTTCCTGTACAACATAGCTAAACAAGCAGAACCCCAACTATATCGTCTTGTTCTTCTAAGATCAGTTAATAAAGTTAAATATATAAGATGTACTTTGTTGCCTGTTTTGTCAAGCATCAAAACACCACCAATTAAACCTAGTATATAAGCCCTACAATGGGCGTGAACTTCTTCTTCAGATGGTTCTTCTGGTAATAGCAACATGTTGTCTCTCAGTCACTTTAATTTTAGTATAGAGCCAATAAGTGACTCTCCCTTGACTGACACGATACCGAGATATGTGTCACACATTTCTTCTCAGTCAAACATTGTTGGACCAATGACTGGTAAACCAACAACTCTTAGCCCGAGTTAAAATGCAACATCCTCCAGGGTTATGGTGCACTCTCTTGTTGAAAAATGGAATGTGTGAGTTTCAGGTCTCCACCTCTCGACCAAAGCTATTATCAATGTGTGATCCACCTTAAGATGCCTTAGCTTTACTACCCCAGTAAAACCAAGTTGTTCAAGTATAGAAACAATTAGAGGACTAGATTTTTGACATTGAATAACAAAAAGATGAAATCATGTTTTCAGTTTCCTACAGTTATTAATAAATTAGTAACATTATATGTAGAATATTGATTTACATATTCAGTTAATAATGCTAATGTGTAAAACTTACCATTTTTCCAATGAAGGCAGACTTGTGTTCATTTTGCTTCCAGAAAAACATTTTTAGTAATGGGAGCAAAGACAGAGAGAAACGAAGAATAAATATGGATGCAAGTTTGAATGAAAATATGTAGCTTTGGATAAATATATTTATAGATAAATGAAGAAGTCACTATTTCTTGGCATGCGTAACTGAGAAGTCACGTAGCCTTGGTTTACATGACTGAGAAGTCACGTAGCCTTGGTTTACATGACTGAAAAGTCACTAACTCTTGGCATGCGTGACTAAGAAGTCACTGTCTCTTGGCATGTGTAACCCAGCCACCACAACTTTTACCTTCACCTTCACCTTACCAAACTTACGAAACTATTCATCCTTTTCAACATGTGATATGAATTTCGACCTTCAATCATACACACAACTTTTAACTAGTTCATTTATAGACCTCAATGAAATACCTTTCAAACCATTTCAGCAAACCCTACCCTCTCAATCTCTTGAAGAAACCTCCATTAAGAACATGCTGTTATGGGTCCCCCAATCAAAGTATTTTATTCTTTTAGCAAGGACGAAGATGAAATCCTATCTCAATAGAAGGATGATGAAGAAAACTCCCTCCCACTTCCAAATATTCTACCATCACAACTATTACCATTATACAAACCACCTCCATATTTTCTAAACATTCCTAGTCAAATGCAAGAACATGACTTTAAGTTTAGCCATGTCCTTGATCGTGAAATGGTAGTGTATCTGCCTGGAACACTATCTGTTGGCCAACTCTTCCTAACAAAAGAACAAGTGCAAGACGCTATAAATAGATTTCATATTGTCAATCATTGGAGTTACAAGGTGAAAATGTCAAGCATAACTAGGCTTGTCATGGAATGCGTTCACAACAACTGTGCCTGGAGATGTCGCACTATATTGTGCAGTAAATAGCAACACGGGAAAATAATGAAGCTTGAAGGGTGCCACACATGTGCTTCCCCGCTTATTTCACAGGATCATAATAAGTTGGGATCACAAATGATTTCTCAAACAATTTATGAAATTATTGAGACTGATCCATCCACACCCATCGCAACCATCTTTGTCTACATAAAGTCCACAATAGGTTATACAATCAGCTGTAGAAAGTGATAGTTGGAGAAACAACATGCCATTGAAAATATATTCAGAAATTGGGAAGAGTCATACCATAAGTTACTTAGACAGTTGCGTACAATGCAACTGTATGTTTCGGGCTTCATATGGAAATTGAGTACATAATCGACATATAATGGTAGCTTGCTTGACGAGGAGAATGTGTTCTTCAAGATGTTGTTTTAGACATTCAAGGCATGCATTGATAGTTTTGCTTTCTGCAAACTAATTGTTCAAGTAGATGAAACATTTTTGACTGACAAATACAAAAGGACTTTATTAGTGGCAGTTGCACAAGACGGCCGCAACAACATAATTCTCATTGCCTTTACTGTAGTTGAAGATAAAACAAGCAATGCATGGTTCTTTTTTTGAAAAACTTAAGAAGGTACGTAACCCCGCAAGAGGGATTGTGCCTCATTTTGGATCGTCACGAGGCCATAAGAAATGTATACTCCATAAATGAAAGTGGTTGGACAGAAAACAATTCTGTCCATGTCTATTGCATTAGATACATTGAATAAAACTTCACGCAACAATTCAAAATGTTACACTGAAGAAAGATGTCGTCAATATGAGTAATTTTAATTTTTTACATACTCTATATTATCATTAATATTTTATACAATTGCTTAACTAATTATATTAATTTAATTTGTAATCTTGTTTCTAGCATATCGTATGACTGAATTGAGATTCTTTTACTATTACAACATAGTAAAAGATAATAATCCTAAAGCTGCACAATGGTTGGACACCATCCCAAAGGAAAAATGGACACTGGCATGGGACAACGGACGACGCTGGGGACACATGACAACAAACCTAGCAGACTCAATCAATTCAGTCTTGAAGAAAATCAGAAACTTACCAATTTGCTCCATGGTCATGGCAACATACGCCCGTTGCAATAAGTTCTTCTTTGACAGAAGCAAGGAAGTAGATGCAATGACTAATGCTAGACATATGTACTCGGAGGTTGCAACTAAAGCAATTCAAGAGCACTAGATTTTTAGTCAAAGAAATGCAACATTTGATAGAAATTCGACCCGTAGGAAGATTTACAGTACAGTTAGATAAAATGTGGTGTGATTGTGACAAGTTTCAAAAAATTTACATTCCATACTCGCATGTACTTGTTTCATGTTTACACACACACCACAACTTTGACATCTACATATTTCCTTTATATACTTTACAACAAGTTTCTAAGGTATACGAAAGTTAATTTAGAAAACTTAGATGAAGACTATTGGCTAACTTATACGGGCCCAACTTTGTGTCCAAATCCAGAATTTAAAAGAACTTTAAAGGGTCGACCCAAGTCCAGTAGGATAAGAACAGAGATAAACATTAGAAAATAACAAAATTGGGCAAAAAATTATTCTTATTGTCATACCACTAATCACACAAGGAAGACATGTCCAGATATTGCTCTAAGCTTTTAGTTTCCGCCATTGATTTATGTTGTTATTATTTTAAAATTTTCTTAATGTCACTACAACTTTTAAATTTTTAGTATTTGTAATTTATATTAAATATATAATTACATATATAATATATCTACATAATATTATTTAATTATATTTATTAATATTAATATCATATTTTTAAATAAATAATTATGTATAAATTTTAATAAATATTAATATCTCAAAATAAATAAATAAATTGATTATTATTTAATATTTTATTTATTTTATAAATATATAATATTAAATAAATTTTTATTATAATTTTTATTTTATACAAATTTAAAATTAAATAAATTATTATTGTAATTATTATTATTTTTTAAAATATAATATTAAATAACCAAAAAAATAATTTTAGAATATAATATTAATATTATTTTCAAAAAATAAAATTATATTAAATAATATAATAAAAAAATAAAAATACCATTTATTATCTTAAATATGTCAAATAAATTTCAATAAATATTTAAAATTAATATTATTTTTATTTTTATTTATTTTTAAATAATATAAAAATATAAACATAATTCAAATAATAAAATTTATTTTATTATATATAACTAACAAAATATTTATAAATATTTATTAGAATAATATATTATAAATATATTTAACAAAATAAAAATATATAAATATAATTTAAATAATAATATTTATTTTATTATATATATATAAAACTAACTCAAAATTCCATTTCTCATATTCAAATTCTGAATTCTGGATAATAAAAAATTTAAGTCTATTTTCAGTAATTAAATTATAATAGAGTCTATCTGAGTATTTTTATTTTTTTTTATAATTTTACAGTAAAAAAGTCTGGATTTGATAGTAAGCGATGAAAAGATGGGAGAGAGGATGAGGTGTCGAAATAGAAGTGGTAGGACAGGGAGCGTATAGTGGGGAGAAGCGCAGGAGAAAAAAGGAGCAGCCACCATAAGACACAAGAGATTCACTTACAGATAAGTGGGAAAAACAAAAAAGAAAAAGAAAAAGAAAAAGAAAAAGAAAAAAGAGTCAACGTTGTTTGTTGGTTGTGCATTAAACCCAATTGCACAGTCTCTTTCTCTTTCTATCTCAATGCGTGTCAACTAAAACCCTATTCCTCTGTTCTGTTTCTTAGTTACCATTCTCATCAAATCACATTACCATCATCATCATGCTTCCTTCTCACCATCACCACTGGGCCCCATCTCCATCTCCTTCTCCTTCTCCCTCTCCCTCTCCAACGCCACTCATCAACAAGTCCTCCCTATCCCCGTCGTCAAAGTCGCCGGCGGTTGACTTCAGCCCCCCGCTAATAGCAATGGTCGTGGTAGTCGCCACCGCCTTTCTCGTCGTAACCTATTCCCGCCTTATCGCGCGCCACCTCAGACCTCCAGTCCACCGTCTCATCCGCCGCTTCCGACGCCGCCGATTCCTCCCCTCCTCCGTTGGCGACCTAGAGTCGCTTCCCTACGAGTCACCGTTGGATGGCCCACATGTGTTCTCTCCCTACGGTCTCGACGAGTCGGTGATCAAAACTATCCCCTTCGCTCTCTACACCGCTAAATACGACGCGAGTTTTGAAGAGTCACGCCGTGACTGCGCCGTTTGCTTGTTAGAATTCGAAGACGACGACTACGTCAGAACGCTCCCCGTTTGTTCCCACACCTTCCACGTCGACTGCATCGACGCGTGGCTTCGTTCGCACGCTAACTGTCCTCTCTGCCGCGCCGGAGTTCTCTGTGCTGATTCTCCGTTCACTCCTATGATGGCCGCCAGAATCCGACCCAGTCTCGACGACGATACCATTCTCCACCGCATCAGTATCGACCCTCTCCTCGATCCTCCACCGCCACCTTCTATCTCTGCCGTGTCCGAGATCACGCCCTGCTTCGACGACCACTCTCCCAGGAGGAACAACGTTAACGCCAATTCAGAGGATCGATTTAACACTAGGGATTTTCTCCTCAAGCGATCCTATTCGTTTGGATTTGAGCGGAGTCTCGCGTCGGAGAGGATGGTGATGGAACCGGCCACGGCTTCGCCGTGGCGGTACCGCAGAGGGAGTAGTAGTTTCTGGAGCAAGAGGCCTTCGCCGTTTGGGTCGTTGGGTAAGCCGAGGGTGTTTTCGTTCAGATATTATCGTGGGATGAAGTCGCCCTTTTTCCGGCGACGGGGGTTTTTCCCGTTGTCGGAGTCGAGCGTGAGGTACGCCGGCGGTGGAAGCTCGTCGCGGCGGAGCAAGTCGATAGCAAGTCCGATGTTTCTGAGGTCGTCGGGGGTGGCGGCGGCAGCTGGGGTGGCGGCGTTCTCGTCGAGTCGGCTGAGGTGTGGCGATCCGGAGGCGCTTCTGTCGCCGGAGAGGTTTAACAGAAGGTGAAGCAAAGAAGGTCAAAGGGTTGAAAAACAGGAATGTTTGATACGAAAAGGGCACGTGGAAGCGCGTGATTGGAGAATGAGTGGGGGAAGGGTTGATCGGAGATGGGGTGGTGGCGGTGTGGGTCAGGTGAAGGAGGAATTAAATGGTGGTGGTCGCATGCGTTTTAATTTAATGAGACTGGTCTGCCAATTTGTAGAGACTCATTAATTGGATGGTAGGAAGAGCATTTATTTGGAGAGAGAGAGAAATAGAGATAAGACTCACTCACTTTGGAAAACAATAATAATAAAAATAACAATAATGACATTTTTCAGTTTTCACACTGAGAAGAAGAAGTGAGAGAAGGAAAGAGGGTTTGAAAGAGGAAGCTTATAAATGGGTGGAGGAGTGGATGGGGTTTAGAAGCTTTTGGGCAAATGGGGTGTGTTTTTTTGGTCTTGATGAGGGGTTTTGGAGTTTTGTAGTAGTAATTTCCCTTTGTTTGTGCCACCGACTGAAACTGAAACCCCCCCATGTGGAAGGATTTAAAGATGCAATATGAGAGTAGTGACCTAGGCGCAGGTGCTGTGTGGTGACTCTCTAGCCTTATGCCCACAGACGCAAGGCATTAATTGTGCCATTGGGTATGCTGACAAGCAACATTGCCTGTGAATTCTTTTCATCATCACATAATTAATGCCATTTATAAGATTTTGAATTTGGAATCTTTTCTGATCAATGCCTTCTCCCATTTCCACTTTCTTCATTTCTTTTTAACTCATGGGGATTGGGGAAATAATGCCCCTCCATTTAACTCACTCTTATATATATAAAGAGTGTTGAGGTCAATAATGTCTCTATGTTAACAATCATTTTTATTTTCTTTACTTGTATATATTTTTTCATTTAAATAAATCAGTAAGACGATATAACATTTTTTTACCCAAAAAGCAATGAACTTCTTACTTTGCAATTCAATGGTGTAAACTAACTGTAAATCGCTACATACTTAATCATTCATCTCTCTTTCTAGGTAAAAAATTTGAGGAGGTGTGGATGACATTGAAAATTTATAGGAATGGGCATGTGGAGCCCTTTGTATATAAAAATTAAGTGTAATTTGATGTTTAGATGCAACGTTTTGTGTACCACAAATTCTATCTCATGCCTTTGAATGGCAATGTTTGTCAATTTACGTCGACTCTCTCAAAAGGTAAACTCACATAAATCCATTTTATTTTTCTCTTTTTGACAAAACAGATCTATTGACATAGTCCACTCCATGACATTTTGGCAACCAATAGTAGTAGTAGCTTTTTTGGTTTGTTTTTCCTTTTACCCATAATTAGCAATAGTAGTTAACTTATGGAGCTATCATGCAAACTCCCCATCAACTTCAGCATCTGTCTTCAAGCCCAAACCTAGCACTTCTGAGTTTCCAGCCAACAATTCGGCCCATTAGATTTCAAACTGGTCCAAGTAAATCAGCACATCATTGACAAAAAATATATATATGTAAAACATGCATTGACATATAGTTAACATGTTACATTATCAAAAATCTGTAATATCTATCTGTAGGGGTCACATGCCATATTAAAGTTGCATCGAACATTAAATATAGCACAAAAAGTTAGGTATGAGTTTTATGTTTTTTTTTATTAAATCATTAAAAGAAAAGTATTTTATTAAAAAATACAATTAAAATTTTTACCTTAAATTTTAATAAAAATTTCGTTTATTAATAGTAAAACCTTTTAGTTATTTGTTTGTTGTGAAAGATTTGAGTTATGATTGATTCCTTAAAAATGTAGAACATAAATAAAAAACATCATTTAGTTTTGTTCGTCCGTCAAGCTCTAATTTAAGTAAGTTTACTCTTCTATCTTTTCAATTGCCTGCGAATTTGGCAAGGTAAATTCTCGAGTTTCTTAATGTTTTATCATTTACTAGTTAAAATTTTATATCTATGCCACACATTATAATAATAATAATGTAAAATAACTCACTTCAACCCTCAAAATTTTTGCAGACTCACCTGATCTGCTCCTGTTTTTAGTATCCACAAAATGATTCTACCATAGCATTAGAAAATTTGACATAGACGTTTGATAAAGGGTCCACATCATGTGCTCACGAAATAATACTATGAAGTTAAATGTATCCATTTAGATTTCCTAGAAAATAAATGTGTTTCTATCCAATGTCTAGGTAGGCCTGGAACCACTCTCAGAAACCCCAACACAAGGACAAATTTATTTGCTGTGGGTACTCGATTAAGGAGTATTTATGCTTAGAACATTAAGATGGCTATGGGGTAGAATTTGCACTTAATAATAACTTTTGTTACAAAAACTTCCCTTGGGGTGAACTAGCTGAATCAGTTGCTTTGGAATTTGGAAATGTGTAAGCCAATGATACTTTGGTTTGCTTTTCCATAGATCATTTTGTTTATCGACACATTTTTCAATTCATTGTTACCCCACTTGGAAAGGCATGGTGAAAAATACAAGAGACAAAACGTACAAGAGGTAAATACTGGGGAAAAAATATAGAATAATTAAAGGTTTGACTTGATATTTATACTGATAAAATTCTTAAACTGAAAAATACAGGATGATCAAAGTCAATGCGTGAGCCGTGAACAATGAGCATGACAGTAATGAGACTTTAGGCACCTTAATATTGTTGACCAATATTACCCTGATGATGCAGGGTGCTGCATTATTGGTCCGCAAAGTGGCTTTAGCTGAGACCATTAATGAGCCTGTATTGGTAACCTACAATTAATTAGCTTCTAATCACATGCCATTGTGAACGTATGAAGTTAGTTTGACAGTGATTAGTTTATGCTATAGGATTCTGAAGATATGTCTGAAAAGTTTTCTTTTTAAAGGTTTAATAGCTTTTTTTTTAACTTAACTCTTGAATTGATCTGAAAAAAGTCTAAATTTAATTCTAGTTCAAAATTAACTTAACTCTTCATATGATCCATTTTGCCAACTTTAGATACTAGACATACTACTAAGCATCACTAAATAGTAGTAACCACTTAACATTATGCAAGCTTAATTAATATCATAAGATTAAGATTAAGATTAAGATTAAGCTTGGATGCTTTTTGGGTTTTGATATTTTTAAATTTATTAAAAATTTACATAATTCTCGGAAAACACTGCATCCAAACTCAACTAGATTTTTGTTTTTAATTTCGTTATAAAATAAAAGAATAGCATAACAAAAGAAATTTAGTTGTGCATGATATAAAGGCAAAGCAGCTTCCACCAAACTTTGACAGCAAAAATAAATGCTGAAGTTGGGTGCATTGCTGAAAACAGGCAAAGTCACAAACCGCACAAAGAGGATAATAAAAAAACCGCTACAAAAATTGTTGACATATTCATCCAAAACGTAATCTCTAAATTTATTGCTTCAGCTCAACTAACTCTTTTAACGCCATGTCTTGTTAAATTCATCTACCAAATATATGACTTCAAAGGCTTATAGATACAAAGAAGAGCCATTTGTTAATCTTGGACCATCACAATGGCTGAGGTATACACTGTGAAGGTGGAGGAGGCAAGCCCAGCAACTCATGAAAAGCCATCAGCAGGTCCTGTGTATAGATGCATTTATGCCAAAGATGGTTTAATGGAGTTGCCTTCTCATTTAGATTCTCCATGGGACTTCCTCAGGTAACTTCCATCTTTATCTTTTTCATCAGATGGAAAAAATGTTGGCTTCATCCTCATTGCATTGCACACGTTGTAGACATTTAAGCAAAGGCATTGCATGAAAACTAAAATAAAAATAAAAATGGCCTTTTTCCAATCTGCGAACTTCGCATTATTAGCACAAAGCCTAACCAACTGAGAATAGACCAATTGTTGGATAAACCAAACTGTATAAATTTGAGCAAACAATGTAGTATAGTGGAGTTTGACAATCCATCCTTAGCAGTTTTGATGGTTCCCTATGCAGGGACACTACGAGGAGGTTCCCCAGCAAGCCAATGCTGGGTCGACGTCAAAAAACCGATTCAAAGGTAGCAACTTTGAATTCTTGTTTTTGTTTTATTCATTATTTCTTACTCACAATAGCTTGGCATTTCTAGTTTAGACTTTATCTGTCTCATATTATATCCATTTTTCGTAATTTAGCTTCTCATTTGTTATTTTATTTAAAATATAAAAATTACTTAAATTTTATTTAGTTATATTTTGATTAGTGAGGCCTTAGTACAAAAAATGACGTGGACCAAAAATTAATAATGACACAGAAGGAGTGGACCCATATAGATTTTGGACATATAGCTTACTACCCATTGAAAAAATATTTGTTTTTCATTTAATTAGATAATTCATGTGAATATTGAACTGAATTTGCAGGGGGGTCCCTATGAATGGATCACGTATGAAGAGGCTTATGATGCTGCCATCCGAATGGGTTCCGCCATGAGGAACAGTGGTGTCAATCCTGTAACCCATCTTTGCTCTATCAACATACTATGTATTTGGATATATATGTAATTAATTTAACTTGTGCTTTTATATATCACAAGGGAAACCGTTGTGGCATATATGGGTCCAACTGCCCCGAATGGATAATTGCAATGCAGGTACAGAACTTTGTTTTTATAAGGGGAAATGGCAAATTGCACTTAAGGAATTGAGTATGTTAAATTAGAGACAAAATTAAATTCCGTAGTAACTTGGTTGGTTCATGAAAAATGTTAATAACACTTTCTTTGACATAGACTCAGGTTAGTGAGAGTGGACTCATGATATTTAGTGGTGTCTACATGAAAATTCATCAAATGATAAAGATTATATTATAAAGAATGTGTTACTAGCATTTGGATTTGGTTTTAGTTACTAGCTATGATAAAGCAACTAAAAAGTTATATAACCTTGCTTGTATTACTGTTCTTCACTTAACATTAAATGGGCTTATACCTTATTACTATACTATAGATTATCCTTATTATTTATTCCAATGGAACTTCAGTGACTTGATTCAATTATGCTGTTTGCAGGCTTGCAATGGCTATGCAGTAACATATGTCCCACTATATGACACCTTGGGTTTGTGTTTTCTTCCTTTTCCAATCACTCTCAATGTGCTTGCCTTTATTTATTTCAAAAGTTTCCTCAAAGAACTTGGGAACTCAGAGAGGTTGTCATGTGTCTTTACACCAATGCTGTCATTCAGCTAGAAAATGTCTTTAAATTTGTGCCTAACAGGTTCTAATGCTGTGGAGTTTATCATAAACCATGGTGAAGTTTCAATAGCATTTGTGCAGGATAACAAGATTCCTTCTGTAAGTTCTATCATATATCCTGGAGCAAAAGCATTTGTTGTTTTTTTAAGGCGCTTTTATTTGAGCAGGATGAACTGTCTGAAAGTTTTTCTTTTCCTCTATTTTTCTGGATGCTAGATTCCTTGTAAATTAAGCACCTTCAACATATGCCTACTAACAAATTTTGTATGAGTTAAGTCATTAGAAGCTTTTGAATTGAGTTACATAAATTTATTTTCTAAACACTTGCTTAGTACAGTTCTTAAAATTAGGTGTTGTTTTTTAAATTTGATAGAATGTTTCACATACTACTAATCTGCTAGTCCTATTTTTTATACTATTATTTACTGTACTTCTTGTAACTTCTTATTAAATGAATTTCTTGGAGATGATTAGCTTATCATCTAGGACAGCATTGAGTATCTCTCTTTCTTGTTTGTTTTTCCTTCCACGTTTCCACTGAAGTAATGATTGCTGCCACAGGTTTTGTCATGTCTTGATAGGTGTTCAACTCTTAAGAGTAGGTCAAATGTTTATATTTTGGCTCCATTTCTATTGGTTTAACAGTCCTTCCATTTATTGATAGTAATCAGCCTCTGTAATTGAATGGTGTAGCTATTGTGAGTTTTGGTAATATTTCAACCACACAAAAGAATGAAGCTGAGGAACTTGGTGCATCTTGCTTTTCATGGGGAGAATTTCTCCAGTTGGTAGGAACCTTGATTTTCTAATTTTCTATTGATGTTTATAATTAACAGCATAAACCATTTTGATTGAGTTTTGTGAGAGATATTTTAAATTGAATACTGTGTCTTCATTTCCCCAGGGAAATCTGGATTTGGACCTTCCATTAAAAAGTAAGACTAACATCTGCACAATCATGTACACAAGTGGAACAACAGGCGAACCCAAAGGGGTCATTATTAAGAATGAGGCTTTCATGGCTGAAGTGTTGTCTATTGACCAAATACTTAATTTAACTGACAAAGTGGTAACTCACTAATTTCCTATATATTTTTTCAAGCTTACGAAAAATATGCCACCCCCTCCCCTCGAAATATGTTTTGTTGGCTTTGTGGTTTGTGTTTTTTTCTCTTTATTTATACACATGTGAGAATTGTCCAAGGTGATTATAATATTCAGGTTTTAATTCCTATTTATTTCCATGTGCTTTTCTTTTGTCATTCTCACAATAAGATGGTTCTCAATACCTTACTTTTATAGCTAGGACACAACACGTGTGCATATCTTTTTTCCGTGAATTAGACCAATGGATGGCGAGCTTAATAAAGTTTTTTTACACTATGCTACAGAAAGTAAAGCTCATCAATCCCCTTGAGATACGTGTTAAATGTGTTAGTCATATTCTAGGATAAATTAATGAGGTAAAAGACAGTATAAGTTTGTAATATTTATGTAATGATAAGCGCTGACTTGAAACATATGCTGTTTATTATTGATAGGGAACAGAAGACGATGTATACTTCTCTTTTCTTCCTCTTGCTCATGTATATGACCAGATAATGGAGACCTATTGCATCTACAAGGGCTCCTCAATTGGATTTTGGCAAGGCGTAAGTTTTGAATTCAATTCTTATTATTAAGTTCAGACTCATTCTTTAATGTTTTATCTCATGGATTTTCTCATGTTAATTCTCACAGGATATCAGGTTCTTAATGGAAGATGTTCAGGCACTGAAACCAACTATATTCTGTGGCGTTCCTAGAGTTTATGACCGTGTTTATGCTGGTAAGGCTAGAATGCTTCCTGTGTTACTGCTATTATCTTGGCATGCACTATAATGTTTTGAGTATTGAATTTAAGCTCCATGCTACTAACTACATGTCCAATAAGCATTGACGATAAGCTTTCTGCCTGAAGGTATCAACAGCAAAATCTCATCAGGAGGAACACTGCAAAGAACACTGTTTCAGTATGCATATAACTAGTATGTATTTCAACCAGACACCTTACCATTTTATAGTCTTCTATCCTAGTGCAAACTAATGTAAAATCTACTGACAGCAAGTTGGGATATCTGGAGAAGGGTCTTCCCCAAGAAAAAGCAGCACCTATGTTTGATAGGCTTGTATTTGATAAGGTAATTCCATTTTGTACTGTGTTTCTTGTTCAGAAAGTCATTTGAAAATTGAAATATTGATTTTATGGATAGATAAAACAAGCATTAGGTGGACAAATTCGTCTCTTGTTATCAGGAGCTGCTCCTTTGCCTAGGCACGTGGAGGAGTTTTTGAGGGTCACCTTTGGAGCTACTTTGTCACAAGGATATGGTATGATATTTTCTGATATTTTTGCTAAAAAAAGTGCAGAGGGATTGTATTATGTCAATTTGATGATGACTCTTCAACTTTTAAATTTTAAGATATGGTTCCATTCTATTATCTGTTGTATGATGGCTTTGGCATTCCTTTTATTTGATTTTTTTTGTTCTTGAGTTCATTCTGTTGTAATGATTTTTTGTTAATCCGCATGTCTATATGGATGTGTATGCCATTTAATTATACCATATGAAGTTATTATCATTTCGATGTGACAGGTCTTACCGAAAGTTGTGGCGGGTGTTTCACTTCAATAAGCAATGTGTTTTCTATGATGGGAACAGTTGGAGTCCCTATGACAACCATTGAGGCCAGGCTTGAATCTGTGCCAGAGATGGGATATGATGCACTCTCCAGTGAAGCCCGTGGAGAAATTTGCCTGAGAGGGAATACCTTATTCTCCGGTTACCACAGGCGTCAAGATCTTACTGAAGAGGTTCTGGTTGATGGTTGGTTTCATACAGGTAAGTCCTCATGGTGCCGTGAATAAAGTGGTGGTCAACTGTGTCAATGCAGAATTCCCTTTTTCCAAGCTTCATTAGGATTCTCCACTTGGATAGTTTAATAATATTCCTAGTCGTTTAGGCACCACTCAGGATCCTGTAAACTGCTACTAGAGAGAATGAGACACACACTTACTGAAGAGTTTTATGGATTACTGAAGAGTTTTATGGACTGTTAAGCACTTGGTAATCTCCTTATATGCTGTGTAAAATCTCACGTTGAAATGGTCAAGGGGCATTTTTATTGAAAATTTAGCAGCCTGAAAAGACATTAATATAAGAATTAGTTTAACAGTTGTTATTAATGTTGGAATCCAAGTGAAGAGGGCACAAAGGAGATCAAGTTTGGAATTTTGTCATGAACTTTTGACTTTCTCCATTTTTGTTTCTATGCATGCATACTGCATATGGATTATTAAAGTTGCTAATTTGCCTCAAAATGCAGTGTGTTTTGGACTGATAAGAAAATCATTACAGGTGACATTGGAGAATGGCAGCCAAATGGATCCATGAAAATTATAGACAGAAAAAAGAATATCTTTAAATTGTCTCAAGGAGAATATGTTGCTGTGGAGAATATTGAAAACAAGTATTTGCGGTGCCCCCTTATAACATCGGTATATTTCTGCTTCAACTGTGGAACATTCTGTAAAATTAGAGAAACGTGAATTATATTGCATTTGTGTTGAATGCCTCGTTTATGTGGTAAAGTGAACTTACAAGTACCTCAATTACTATATTTATGTAATTCAATGAATGTAACTTTTTTATTCTGTATGCAGATTTGGGTCTATGGAAACAGTTTTGAATCTTTTCTGGTGGCAGTGGTGGTCCCTGAAAGACAGGTCCTTGAGGATTGGGCAGTGAAGCATAACTCTACAGATGATTTCAAATCTGTGTGTAAAAATCTGAAGGCAAGAAAATACATTTTGGATGAGCTCAACAGCACTGGTCAGAAACACCAAGTATGTATTTAGAATGCCCAATTCCATGCATGCATTTAGTTTTTGGTGTTAAGCTATATTCTGACTTGCTGATGAGATTTGACATTATTGATATTCTCTCAGCTTAAAGGCTTTGAGCTGCTAAAAGCAGTTCATTTGGAACCAAATCCCTTTGACATGGAGAGAGATCTAATAACTCCAACATTCAAATTGAAGAGACCGCAATTGCTTAAGTACTATAAGGTTTGTCTCATGTTCTCTGATCAACATTGTAACTAGTAACTGTCTACTTCACTCCATAGCACAAATTTATTTCATATTTGTTTCCTTATATTCTTGAATTAGTAGTCTGATTCATGGTTTGTACCAAAATGTGCATCACTTTTCGAGTAATCAGGAAACATGGTTGATAATTTCAATGAGATGTTGGAGTGCTTTATTTACTTATTATATAAAATTAACACCCTTTGCCATCATTTACAGGACAATATTGATCAACTATACAAGGAAGTGAAGACAACGATAGTGTGAATAATGGCAATCGGGAATTTCATATGCGATTATCCAGATTCCTGACAGTTTCCTCAGAATCCATTTGAATTTTGTGTACTTGAGGTTCATTGCGTATTGAGTGCAGTGAAAAGCTATAAACAAAACTTATAGTATATTGAAATAGCAACTGCGTATGTCCAGTTATCCATTCTTAAAAGGATTACAAAATAATATTAATTCGAAATTCTGATAAGCTAGACATTTCGTGGGCCTTGCAACATCTGTTTTTGCTCCTCTTTTTATTGTTTCTTTCGACCAAATGTTTGTTTTGATTTCTCATTTAATCAATAATCTTAACCATAAGAACATAATGGATTAGGGTAATGCTAAACCTGTACTTTTTTTACCTTATGCATGTTAAAAATGCCTCGATTATACGTTGATAATGATAGGTTAAAAAGATGGCGCAAATTACATTTCTAGTGTGATAAAGATAAAACTAGTACAAGTTAAAAAGTTTCACATAAAATGTTGCAACTTCTTTCAAACTTCCTATACTTTTCATGACACCCCTGCAAGTTCCGAAAACCTCTGGTATTTTGACATTCTATTTGGCATATTGACTTTTCATGTTCAGAGGGAATTCATAATTCTCTTGTTGAAGTATTTAGGATTGCATTTGCTGAAAACATGAAGGTAAAAAAATAGAGCGCAACAATGGATGTAAATTTGTATAAATATCCCGCAGGTGAAAATACAACGATTTCCCAAATCATACATGATTGTGAACACACAAGATGCTAGAAAGATACAACATCAATCCTCTTCATCTTCTTGTGCTTTTTACATTCGATGAAGCCAAAAAGTTTTTCAATTAAATTTGATTTGACATTTTTACATATGCGAACCACCTAGACACGTGAATAATAAAGAAATGACAGGGTATTTCTAGATATCAACTTCCAACAAATGAATGACAGAGACAACAATTCGTTTAATTCAAACATGCAAACCAAGTCCAAATGCTGCTGCCTATAAAAGACAGACCACCAATGCCCAAACAGGATATACCAACAGAATTATTATGCCAACGGAATTTGATATGCCATGGGCTCTAGTGAAGGAGTTTCTGAAGCCCCCAGATGCCCGAATGTGTTCTTGTAGCAAATAACATGCAATTATAAGGCATACTATCACCCCAACAATGTTTCCTCTAAAGGTGTCTGCTAAAAGACTAGGAGCCACAACAATTAGAAGAATCAAAGAACCAGGCATTTCTAGCCAATCTGCAACAACAATCATGATTGGTTATTAAATATACTCAATATTACATCATCACATTTATTTTTAGTACTTTTAAAAGACTGATATATAACTTTGATATGAAGTGGGTGAGTAAGGAAATATTGACTTGGTTGCATCCAAATACTTGCATGTTCAATCACGGATGCCAAAAAAGAATTCAGGAGACACACTACGATATTAACCACTATAGGAGGAGTGCTAAAAGCAAACCCTTTAAACACCCTTTGTTTAATATTAATTAATATTTATTGAAAACTATAAAAATATGAGAAAAATGTTAAATTAAAAGTGAAAAAAAATAAAACCAATATTATTTTTATAATTTGTTACAAATTTTAATAAATAACTAAGAGTGTTCTAACATTTCTACCAATTCAGTGTAAACAATTGTGTATCCTACCGGGGAAGCGACTTGGAAAGAAAAGCCGCAATACTACAGCAATAAGAGCAATCCATCTTCCAATTTCTCCCCTGCGTGGCCATGAAAATAAGTAGAATGATAATTAAGAGAAAGTTTAATATTAGATAAAAATGACGGTACAAATTTGATAACTACAAAGAGTGAGACCTGAAGACGGCAAAAATCAAGGACGGCAAGCTGAAGAAAATGTATGGAATGAGTAGTGCTGTGAGAATATTTGTCCTCCAGTTTGTACGATCCAAAACCAACAAATAACTGCAAACATGTTAAATCAATCAGCGAAGCTGCAGAAAAACTCTAGTTTTTAAAACTTGAGTCTAATTGCTGTACAAAGTAAACTTCTCTTGAAACACTTACAGAAAGAAATAAAATGATTTTCATAAGAAAAAACCAAACTATACACTTCAAGTACGTTATTTATTTTAACTTGTAAAAATATCTTCATTTATTTTATCATCTTATTTTATTTTTCCTTCAAGTCCTTCTACGAAAATTTATTTAAAGTGGGCCAAATTGAAAATCATACCTCTTATTAACTATCTTGTTCTTCCCTATGCGGATGCTTTACCCCTTTGAAGAACAAAAGGGAATCTTGAAAGACAACATAAAGTAAATTCAAGGGGGTGCTTGGTTATGATCTCAGGATCATCCCTGTTCCATTTTCATTTAACTAACGAAATCCACATTTCCATTTAACACTGATATAAGGCGCAAGTGATGAAGGTGGGATTTTTGTTCATGGATTACAAAACAAACGCCCCGCAATGTTTGGCTTAGTTTCAGAGAAATTAAATAATTGCAAAACGGAAGTAATAAGCCATCACCTGTATAGTCTTCGATTAAACAAGTCTAATTTATAAATATTAAAACATCAACACCCCTTTACCACTTTCCATTTTTCTCTATCTCTCTTGCTATGATCAAATCCTAATACTTATACCATCTATGACTAACATTTTTCCCAATCTCTCTCTTAATATATTCACCTAATAGAATATTTATAAAACATTATGCTTAATTAAATAGTAAAGAAGTAGTATAGAGTACGTACACGGCAGCAATGGCAGCAATCAATCCGAAAAAAGAGGCTCCAAAGCCAAGGCCACCGAGTTTGATGGCATGTTGGGCAAGTTTATTAGCAGCAAGACTCAGGTCCCTGAAATCTGAATTGATCAATTGAACTGCATCTTGTTCTTGAAAATTCATCTTCTTCCACATATTCATAGGAGTGAGTACTCAGAAGATAATAACAATCAAAGATTACTTTATGGCAATCAAACAGCATATGAGAATGAAATTAAAGTCAAACAAATCTTTATAGCATAACCATATGGATGGATCTGCGAGGCTATATTATATGCACGTTACACAGTGTGGGTATCTTCCGACCACCCAATTGAAAAAGGCCACGTGGAGAAACTAATAATATGGATGTGGATGAGCTGGCGTATGAGTGTATGACAGCTGTTCTTGCTTTCTCTATTTCGTTTTATTTAGGTTTCAAGAAAACTCCTACAAGCAACAAAAATTCAGCATCATCTATAATGATATAATGTTTTTTTTAATTTTTATTATGCATTTAAAACCTTAATAATAAATATTTTTAAAAAAATGATATTTTTAATATATAAATAATATTAAATAATATAAATTTAGTAAAATATTATTAGATATCTTTAAAGGTACATTAAAAAATTATAGTTAATGTATGCGATAAGTTTATCAAAATATATTGAATTTTGATTTTATAGTTCTTAATTTTTTTTTATCCGTTACATTGTAAAAAACTATTCATTTGCAAAAAAAAGGTGACCCATAACATCGTCTAAATTGATCACATTATTTTTTAATAATAATTATTGGTCAAAATTAATAATTTTAAAATATATAAAAATAATTTTATAAGGATTAAAATAAAAAATTAATGTATTTTAAGAGTTAAAAATATATTTAACCAAATATTTAAATAAAAATACTAAAATATTAAAATTTAATAAAATTTGTTTTTTATTTAATTATTATATATATGGGAAAGGATTTTTCTATACCATTGTAAGTCTAAAAGATCTTACACCTAATCTGAACCTTTCATTTAACTTATATCTAACGGTCAATGAAATAATAAATTATAACTCGTTAGATGTAAGTTAAATGAAAGATTTAAAATTTGATGTAAGAATTTTTAGATTGAAATTAGTGTAAAAAGATCATGCCCTTATATATATATATATTGTTATTAAACAGGGCTGAACGCCCAGACAAGAAACACTAGGCAGCAAGCTTAGACCACAGAGAACCTAAAGAATCCAATCTTAAAAAAGGCTCCAAAGAAAAATGAGCCTTATAAAAAAAAGATTGGCCAAGATCAGGACCCAGCTTAGCTAACCGATTGACACTTTGGTTCGCTTCACAAAGAACATGACTAAACCTAACAAACTTAACATTTTTGAGTAAATCTTTAATTTTGCTAATTACAAAATAGAAAAGATGAGAACTACTCTGAAAATTAACTAATAAGGATATGACAACCTTGGAATCACATTCTACCCAAATAACTTGAATGTTTCTTGTGATGACAAGTTTGAGACCCCAAAAAATGCCCCAAAGTTTAGCAATAGTAGGATGGCAAGCTACAAGATTTTTGTAGAACCCAACAATGAATACACCAGTAGAGTCCTGAATTAGGCCACCACAACTAGCAACACCCAAGGAATAAAAAACCGATCTATCGGTATTAAGCTTTAGGAGGCTACCACTTCACCATAAAATCATTTCCCTTATTACCAGCAACTTGCTTTTGATTTGGCCTACAACAATAGAGGAAATAATCAACATCAATGAAAATTTTGCATAGCAGCTCCTGATCATTAAGACAGTTATTCTAAAAAATAAAATTATTTCTATTTTTCTACAAATTCCAAGAAACTATGATAAGTCTGTAATTAAGCCCTCTTTTACAGCCTATATATTTATATTTGACCTTTATTTTATTTGGATTTTACACTAATTTATTTATTAATTCTGCAGTTAGGTATAAAGATGTCGTAAGTATACTTTAGGTGTGTTTTAGGCCCAAATTGATAGAAAATTAGAGCTTCGCAGCAATTAGCATGCCTATATCCTTTCAACAAGCACAAAGGTGCTTCGAGTCCATGCACAGTCATACTTAAGGCCTTGCACGACCGTACTCATCTGCAAGAAGCCCAATTATTAAGAGTCTTTATGGTTTTCAAACCCTATTAAAAGGAGATCTCAAGCATCGTAAAAAAAGATCAGTTTTTACATTTAGGCTTTGGCTGGAGAATACATTTGATCTCGTCTCTCTTGCACGGGATCCTTGACATATGCTTGGCGAGACTTGAAATTTCAAGCGATCGTACTTGAAGACCGAGAACACATCTCATACTCTAGTTTGATATTTCTTTATATTATGGCTTTATTTATGATTGTTTTAGTTCTTTTCTTTAATATGAGTAACTAAGTCCATAGCTAGGGCTATGAGAACTATTGTTCATGAATTTATGAAGTTTTGACGTTTTAATCTAAATTTGATTTCCGTTTTGTGATTAGATTTTATTTTATTGTACTTCTCTCTTAATCCTAATTAATTATATCATCAGACGACCGTACTTCAGTTAATTAATAGATTTATAGGGTAAAACGAGACAAGGATTAGGTAGACCAAACCAATCTTTCTCTTCTAATCGTTATTAAATTAATAAGTTCATAGGTTCCTTAAGTTTTCTTAAATTGATGTCTTGTATGATCATTGAGGATGTTAATTTAGAGAAAAGAATATTAATATTGCATGACCATTGGATATTAATAGTATTCGTATGAATGATTGATAATCACAAGGAAATCATATTTAGAGTTAAACATAAAAATAACATAAAGGATTGAATGAGAAAACTCATATGCCCTAGGTTCCTCTCCGATAAGTTTAACCAAGACGTGCATTGTATTCCTTGCTCTTAGTTTATAATTAATTTTATGAATTCTTGTTTTAATTAATCTCATATCTTTGAAGCTTAAACAATTGAATTAAGAAATTCTTAGTAATTGGAAAACAATATTTGTAGGACGATATTTCGGGAACTTAATTTAAAAACCTTTTATTACTTCTCGATGGATACACTTGCCCTCCGAACAAACTACCTTAAAAAATAAACTCCAATGAAGATATAAAGGGAAATTTTGTTTAGAGAGATTAAAGTCCAACCAGTTAGATAAACCAAGACTGAAAAATTCCATCTACTTGTCAGGGGGAAGAATCTAATTCCAAATATTATTGGCCACCCAACAATCCCTAAGAACATGAATTACAGTTTTAGGGGCCTCCATGTATCTAGGCATAGAGGAGAAGTAGCCATTTTGCGGCAGACTCTTTCCTCATTGGTTAAAAGCTTATTATGACCAACCTTCCATAAAAAAGTGGTAATCCAAGGGGGACCATCCCAAGCCCAGATCAACTTAAAAGTCCTATTGTGATTAGAGTTATCTATATTCATATCAGAAATAAGACCATAAGTAGATTTGATTGAAAAAGACCCATTACTAGCAAATTTCTAGAAAAATCTATCTTGATCATTAAATAAAGCAAGGGGGCTAATGTGAGAAATTAAATTACAAGTAGATTGGGCCAAGAAATCCATTAATCTGTCACAATCCCAATGACCCTGATTGATAAAACTAGCAACGGGTGTAATAAAATCCTCCTCAAGAATCAAATTAATGGCACAATCAGACAACACCATCTGATCAAGGACCTGACTATCCTTCCAAAACTTAGTTGTTAAGCCATATCCTAAAATCCAGCCGAGACCAGAATAAAAATAATCCCAAACTGAGGCAAAGCTCTTCCATAAAGAAGAGGTTTTTAGACCAGAATTCAACAAAAGGCTTTTACCTATAGAAAATCTATACTTATTACACAAGAATTTAGCCCATAAAGCATTAGGGGAGGTAATAAGACGCCAACACAATTTCATTATAAATGTTTGATTCAGTAGATTAATATTTTTGAATCCTAGACCCCCTTTATCCCATCCTATAAGATGACATTTTCTATTATTTAAAGATCCTCAAATAAATCTCTTATATATAGTATTAATTTCATTGCAAACCGATTTAGGGACAACCATTGTTTGTATAAAATAATTAGGAATATTCATAATACAAGCTTGGGCCAGAGTAATTCTACCAGCAAAAGATAAAGAACTCATTTTTCAAGTTGAGAACTTTCTCTTTAATTTGTCAATTATGAAAATAAAATCTTTTCTAGAGGGCTTAGTATGAGTTATAGGGGTACCAAGATATTTACCAAATTGGGGAGAACTCTGAACCCCAAGGATAACTTCAATATTTTGTTTAATTACATGATTATAGTTTTTGGAGAAATAAATGGAAGATTTTTCTCTATTCACAGAAAGGCCAAAGGCAGTACAAAACTCATTAAAAACAGAATTCACAGTATTAGCATTATGCAAATAAGCTTTAGCTATTAAAACTATATCATCAACACAAAAGAGATGGAAAGTTTTAGGACCATCATTATTGAAGGAAAAAGGAACCTAGCTATCACTAGTAACCTAATCCCGGATTAAGTGTGATAGTCTTTTTATACACATCACAAAGAGGTAAAGGGATATAGGGTCCCCTTGCCTAATACCCCTACAAGGGTTAAAACTCTTAGTCCTAATGTTATTCCAAATGATAGACATGGAGGATAAGGAAATGCATTGAACTATAAGGTCTAAAATTTCTTTATTATAACCAATTAATTGAAGAGTTTTAGAGTTGAAATTTCATCTAATTCTGTCATAAGTCTTCTCCAAATCAAGCTTGATGAGCATGAAAACAAATTTATTCCTAATTTTATCAAAAGAATGAATAAGCTCTTGTAAAATAAGGATGTTATCTATTCTCTGTCTTCCACGGATGAAACTGGTTTTGTTAGCAGAAATAATGTGGGGTAGAGACCTCCTAATCTTGTTAGTTAAAATTTTTGTTACAATATTATAACTCACATTGTAAAGGAATATAAGTCTAAACTATTTTATAAATTCAAGATTTTCAACTTTGAGGATAAAAGTGATAATAATATCATTTATAGTAGCCATCTCTATAGAGTTTGTAAAAATAGTAGAGGCTAACTTAAAGATATTCTGACCTAACAAATCCCATTGATTCTTAAAAAATAAGGCATAAAGCTCATCAAGGCCAGGGGTCTTGAAACTACTTATGCTAAAAAAGGCAGCCTTAACTTCTTTTATAGTCAAGGGAGAATCAAGAGCAATTTTATCAGACTCCATAAAGGGGGAAAGGTAG